CAATCCTCGCTGACTGGCTTGGCCGCCATCCCCCAAGTGCCGTACTTTGCTCCGGTAGGTTTAGAAGCTTCAGGAGCATCGTGAACGACTGGAACGCTCTGGCTCCGGACGTGAGCGGGGGCCGGGCCTCTGCGGTTAGCAGAACGGCCGCCTCTAGGGTCCATCTGCTTAGCATACGAAGTCATCGGTCGCGGTAATCGTCCAGTATCGGATTTCTCGTGCATTGGTGGTTCGCTCCAGTCGAAGAGTGAGCTGAGCGGACGATCATTATGGGTATCGTGGCCGTTTGTATCAGCAACGCCATTACCGCTGATATTGGCTAGGGCGAGGCGAACATTAGGGTTGATCCCCCTGGAATTCAGCGAGCTCCCTTTAGAGGGAGGCGATAAGGGGTTACATTGGAACTCATCATCCCTGGCCCAATCATCATCAAACTCATCGTCAAAGGACAGCCTGCTGTACTCCTTGGTCGCAGAGGTTGGAATATCGTAGGGCGACGAGTTAAATCTCGACTCGAGTCTGAAATGCGGCGAGACGTCAGATCGATTTAGGGTGCGGACAGGGGTGGATGCATTCTCGTCCTCCTCCATGATTTTGTCGTCCTCATCCCAGGTCCGCCCAAGCATCTCATGAATAGATAAACGCTTAGTCTTTGTACCATTTCCGGCAGTGCTTGGCGGTGACTCGTCATACACGGATTCCAACGGTGTCTCGACAGCACGGGCACGACCGGAGCCAATTGTGCGCAGTGAGTCAAACACACAATCGCTTTTGTATTCAGTGTCATCATCGTCCACCGACGTACAATCTCGGGTGTCACCCTCAGAGCTCTCCATGGTGGAAGCCCTGTCGTGATGCGGTCCCCTCAGTTGTGACATGGCAGTGGAGCTAGTAGAACTTCCTGAGGGTTGGTTAGGTCGATAATGATGGGTGGGAACCCCAGCAGAATACCCTAACCGGGACGTATCCATATGAAAGTTTGCAAGTCTAGGAGGTGGAGGAACCGGCGACGACGAGTTTCTCTTGCGACTTCTCAACTGCATATTGGCAGCTGAACCAAGCGACAATCCCTGCCGGTCTGATATCGTTGATGTAGCGGGGAGGGTCAATTCCAGGTCCGGATTGGTTCGAGGAACAGCGCCAGATTGCGCACCAGTAAGCGGTTCGGACACACGTCGCTTATTCCCACTCCTGGGTTCAGCGCCACGTTTGGAACGCTGAGTGCTCCCTGTCGTTCTTACCGCCCACGTTTCTCCAGAGGCGAACGGCATTGAGACTGATTTTTGTGGTGTGCTAAATGGTGAAGTCTCGGGGGATTGAGCTGGCTCGTCCTCGGCAGTCTGAGGAGGACGTGTTTCTGGTTGGATTTGAGCAGCAGGAAGTAAACCTTGAGGGGCAGGTATCGCTGAAACCATCCTTGGTTTCACCAGATGAACTCTACCACGCTCGTTGATATCGGTACGAATGCGCTTTAAAGAGACGGCTCGAGCATGTGGACTCAACTCACCTAGCCTACTCGAGCCTATACGTCCGCTAATGCTGAACCTCTTAGAGTGAAAATACGATTTCCATCCGCTTCTAATAGATGTCGATCTGGTGGGGGTTCTGATTGAGGATGAGTCGAGGAACTCGTGGGGTCGTGCCTGATCGTCAAATGATACGTTGTTTGAGTCTGTTGGTGTGAACACCGCAGGGGAATCTGGTCGGAATTGCTGAAGAGTCGCGGACCTCTGGTGGCTCGTAGCAGGTCGGCGTAGGGTGGGTAGAATTTGTAGGTGAGATTTCGCACGTCGTCGTCCTGGCAAAGGGTCGGGGCCGATGTGGTTTGATGTAGATCGTTTAACGAGCTTGTTAGGAGGGAGATTCGGTGCTGGAGAACCGCGCAATATCGGGGCAGCTGAGCCGTGAGAGAAGATAGAGGGCGCGTCCGGGCCAACACTCGACCTTGTGCTTTCGTGGCGGGACAACGGGCGAACAGAGAAGCGCCTTATCCAAGATCCATTGGAGGATATTGAGTCTCGAGACTCGGGGATAATAGCTGGAGATTCGGAGCGCCTCACGAGTGACGACTGCCTGCTGTTAAGCTGTGGGGGAGTCGACTGCGTCTGGGGCATAGGCGGTCGCTGATAACGGGAGAGGGGAGGCCTCGAGGCGGTAACTGGGCGCGGGAGAGTGTGATGGTGGGAAGCGCCGAATACAGCAGCGGCGTTGCTCGTGGCGGGCCGTGAGGAAGCAAAGTTGCCAAGCGATGGCGACTGTGCGCTTGGGTCGCGGTCTATAGAGACTCGTCTGGAATGGGAGAGACGTCGAGTCGAAGGAGAGAAGGTATTTGGTTCAGTGGTGGGTTGGCCAAACACCAAACCAGTGGCCGCTGCGGCGATAGCAGTACCAGTTCCAATAAGCTGAATGGATAAACACAGTTAATTACCGCTTATTGCTGCAACAGGCAAGAGGTTGGTCAAGCCACCAAGAAAGAGGGTTTGAAGGGATCCAAGATCAGTATAGGATAAGGCAGAAAATAGGTGGGATAGGTTAAAGTCTATAGCAGCCATGTGATGACTGGTGTGTGGTGGTGGTGATCCTTGGTTGCCTTGATGTGATTGTGGATTGGATTTGCGGGGAGTACAAAGCTAACTAGCAACAAACTTACACTTGGAACGGTCTGCATGGTTGCTTCCATGGCGAAGGAAGCCGAGGGCTCTACTCAAGCAAGAGAGAGATATAACACAGCGACAAGCATTCTAGCTTAGAAGCGGAGGATGGCAGTACTCGAGAGGGCGGGGGTGCTCATGATCGTTGAAGCCATAGACCCAAGGATTATTGGGGGTGAATTCGCAGTCGACAAAGGCGGACGATACTTGCAAGGACAAGAAACCGTTGTAACCCACACGCCTTTCCCAAGCCAAGATTCTTCAAAGGGCCCCCCGAGTTTGAGAGAAGATGGATAGCTCCGGGGGATGATTGCAAAGACGGGAAGAAGCTAGGCGAAACCTGATTCTGGCTGGCTGGGTGGCCGGACAAACAAAAACAAACAACAAGTGAATGTTCTCCTCCCTCGGCGTCAGTCGGTCGATTGTGCCTCTCTCTGTGTGCGGGGGGTTGAAGGATGGGTAAAAAAAAAAATTAAAAAAATTGAGTTTGTGGAAGAATAATATGAGAGACGACGAATGGACGGGACTTCTGAGCTCGATTGAGATTGATTTGATGTGATCAAGTCGCGGAAGCGAATGTTGGAAAACAAACCAAGCTCGGCTGTCAGTTGCGGCCGCGATTAAGGTATAGGAAGGTAAACACTGCTGCAATGCCAGTGGGGACAGAGCGAGAAACCTAAGCACCGGCTTTCAAGATTAAAACAAACAAACAACAACAACAGCGGCCGCTGTCAGAACGCTACAGGAGATTAAAGAAGAGGAAGAAAATAATACAAAATTGAAATTGAAAAAAGATGATAGAGAATTGATTATTTTCTTGTCTCCTCTGTTGTCCCCTTTTGCTTTTCCGCTGGGTGTTTTTAATTCCCTGGTAATTCGTATCCCCTTACAGCTGCCAACACGACGGAACAATAGTTTTCGTAGGCACGGAGGTCGGTAGTCAAATTAGATGGATATCAAAATTAGAAACTAAACCTAGCAGCGGAGCAGACAAAAAGAAAAGAATGAGAGAAACAGTCGCTCTTGTTTTTCCTTACACCTCAAGATTGCAGGCAAGATTCGTGTGAGAACGGATCGTCTCTGCAGGGATGTACATCAACCAAGCATCGCGCGACTCCAGACGGGATGGACCAGGCCAGGCCAAGGTCAGGGCAGAACAGGGCACCCAGGGCCAGGTCCCCCAGCCTGCATACATATGTTCCATTTCCACACAGATGTCTCTTATTACTATTAGCGCATGGAGCCACTGAACATTTAGCGTCGCGGCGGGCCTCGAGGTACCTGTAAATCCAACAGGCACAGAGGTAGGTGCTGAGCCTGGCTGCAGCACTGTACTGCAGAGAAACCTGGAATTGATTGGGTCTCAACTGGGGCGCGTCTCAAGCGCTGAGCAGCAAGAGATTAAACGTTGCTATATTGAGTGGAGGGCAGCGGACCACCTAATAACTTTGGTATGACTTGCATACAATCTGATATCATAGGCACTGAATTAGCACTCTTTTGGTCTGATTAAAAGTCCTTCTAAGCATACTAATAAAATTGACTTGACACAATTGATCCAAAGCTGAAAAAGCCTTGCTTCAAACTTCGCTTCCTCTAGTTTTCCTCCACTACCAGTCCTAAGATATCTCGTTAATGCTACACGAGATCCATCTCGTCTCAAACACAAACTTTGAATCCTGGACAGGTGCAACGCTTATTATCTAGCTCACCCCGTTTTTATTTACCATTCCAAGGAACGAGAGCTTATTATCTTCAGATCGATGTGATCCGGCTGTCTCTCCCTCTATTACCCGTAGCGGCAACACGACCGTCCGTATCGTGGCATGGCTTTCGACCCAGGTACTTGTATCTCCGGGCGGTTTCCTTCACCGGGGAGCTCCTTGGCTTTGGCCGGGGGTTACATTTCGGCCTCTTACTGCATCAAATAGCAGAAAGCGCTCAAGCAAGCGGGTGATCCTCTTCTGTCCACTGTTCAAAGAACCGACGCTAGAATCATGATGGAGAAAAAGAAGAAGCACATCTCATCGCCAAACTCTTGATTGTCGAACTCGCTTGCTATTCTCTTACACCGGCCCCGGAGGTGATGACGACGGGGGATCACAACGGGATCAAGGACCCCGGAACGGACTGCGCAAAACAGCACAAGATCCCTGCCCGTAGGCGCAGAGACCGAAAAACATAATACACAGAGCCCTGTCCGTTGCTTGCTCAACCCGAGTTTGCTTTTGCTCTGCCACATAACAACATCGAAACTATCCGCTCCCTTTGGTTACAGTACCGCCCGTCACAGGGCCGGCCTATCTCGCCATCGAGCACCCGGTGTTGAGTATGCTGAGATACGACATAATGATCAATTTCTCATCTGCGTCTGCATCTGCGTCTGCATCTGCGTCTGCGTCTGCGTCTGCGTCTGCATCTTACAATGCCCCTGGCATCGCACAGCAGGGCCCTTCCAGGTTGTAAGCAGTGGCCCTGGTAACGGCCCTGTTTATCAGAAAACCCTTGCTATGGTTGTTTTCGATGTGACTGCTATTGAGAATACAGCAGCTCCTGGAGAGGGTATCATTTGCGAGGCCTTTGGACAGAGTAAAGATGAAGAAATGCATCCGGAGAGTACAATTGGGGACTTTTTCTTGACTAAATAGAGATAGGGGTTGTGCACCCATTGACTTTATATCTTGCATTGGTATTGCACAGCCTGAGATCTGTCTGACTGGCATTGATGGTTGATGCTGCCTGTCCTGTACTCTGTGTACACCGGCCAGTAGTAACACAAACACAGGCCATGCCATGATCCTTCGGAGCAGTTCGCCATCCCGCGTGCATTTATCTAACCAATTCGCGACAAGTGCTGCAGTACTTCCTTACTGGAGTGCATCAGAAGTCTGTAAAGCAATCAATTGTTGGCATACTCACAATTAACATGCTGCAATGTCTTCTGTAGACCACCATGACTTTCAACTTACTAGATTCAACTCCACACTTCATAGCATGCTCCGCCTTCAACAGCAGCAGGGAACTCTGAGCTTCATCAACCAAGCTAGCCACGACCAGAGAGCAGCAACTCGCCTCTTTGTGCCACAACCGTCAATCTGCAGCCGCCCTTGACTAGTTATCATGTGCAACGCTAGCTCTTAACGCAAATGATAAGCGAATAAGAGAAAGAATAATTATATACTTTGAAACTTCAGGGACCAAGGGGACCAAAAGATCCGGGTAAGAAAAGGTTCACTGGGGGTACTGAGGGTTGCTTGACCATTGTCCAAAGTTTTCATAATTACATCATGCACCATCATTGCACATGAAAATTCGGATCAAAGGACGCCCTTGATGATGATTCTCGTCTGGATAACTTTTGGCTTGGCTCGACGCGGTACACGGGCCGTTTTAAGCAGTCTGCAATGCATATGCAAACAGTAGCGTATCATAAACAGGTTCTTGTTGCGTTTGTCTTCTTAGCTCTTAGAACTTCCCCATTATTGTGTGATATATGAGACGTATACCGTCAAGTTTGGTCTTGTTTAATGAAGCTACTTCATGCCCTTTACAAAGTCGGCCCCACTCCGTTTACACAGCTATTCCAAGTACATAATTATATACAGCTTGCTAAGAAAACTCATCACTTGGTATTCTTGCTAAGATCGAGACTAGCAAAGACATGTGTCTTTCTCTTATTTCCAGGAATCAGCCACACGTGTATAGAGTTGCCCTTGCAGATACAACTTCTGATCCGTGTCTCTGAGGGGAGACACCAAAAGTTGTGTCTGCGGTATCCTAGGCTAACTATCTACTAGCTGGGCTGTCAAAAGTTGAGGCCAGCCACAAGATTTGAAGAACCGCAAATAATAAACATAAACGTAAACAATAACAACAAAACAACGCCACTACCTTCAAAGATCCAATCCAATGATCTGCAGTATAAGCCTGTCCTGTCGACCTTTTCCTTCTGAGCGGAGTAGCAACCCGCCCCTGGTTCGCATTTACTGAGGGGTTATATGAAACAACCTTGCGTGATTTGACGAGACCCGAGAGAATCATGGGAACAGTATCGGAATGTTTTTTTAGGTCAACAAGATCAGCTTCTTCTCCTCTCGATCAAGGTCCGAAAGAGGCGCTTGTGTCTTGACGGTGGGTCTCGGAGTATCTTGAGTTAGAGCGTATCTCATCTTGAGGCGGGCACCATTCAGAAGTTGTAGATGCGAAATTGTACCTCGCAGCTTCACTCACACCCAGAAAAAGCCACAAGCAGATCCTCCTCGTGTTGAGGCAATGGCCCGCGGCTACGGGTTAAAGGTTGCAGGAAGCAACAACCCCTGCCCTGTCTTTTGTCTCGATAAGGCTGGATATGAAATCTTGCCCAGGACCTGCACCTAAGCTTACTTACATACCTAAAACAGGTATATTTTGGCTTCGAGCTGTTGCAGAGTCCGAAATCACATGGTCCAGTAGATGTGGTAGAGACTAATCACTGCAAGAACTTCCCCAGTCCGTACCTGAAACAAATCTGTCAGCACAGCGGAAGTCTTCCGACTTGTCTCTCCTCCGATATTGACGAACCAATTCGAAAATGCAGATCATAAATTTGACACTCAGTCATTCAGGCTGATCCAAACTGAGATACCTGAATAGGCGAACCAAGCCATCATGATCGAATTTCGCATCCTCAAGGTTCGAGGCTCGAGCAACAGAGTCCAATTTCCACCAACCATGCTCAAACGGCAGCTAGCTTGGTAGTTTCGACAGTGATGTGCCTAGTGCTCACGATGAGAGCTGACGCAACGCGCCAGCTTCTTTTCTGGTCATAGTATCAAACTCAAAAGCCGCTGGATGGTTGTAGATGTTGATGCACAGCTTTATGATAGGACTCTTGCAGACAGCCACGAAATTCGATGAGTGACAGCCAAACACTAGTCGGACAAGGGTCTTATCATGAGGCTCTTTGGGGCTTGCTCTCATCTCATGAAGACAGTTACAGAATAGCTCCATCAAGTCTGGAATGCTGACTTTCTTCTCCGCAGTCATGGAGAAAAATTCCGAGTGATCATGATCGACAGATCTGTCTGCGTCAATCATGTTCTACACTTTATCTCAACGTGGCTACCGATAATCATGAGCACATGAAGCGCATAACGGATCAGGCGGTACAGCAGCTCATGAGCCCAGAACACTATTGATGTGAGAGAACTGTTCGTACTAAGGCTCTTAAACCTGCCTTGATGATGATCATTGTAACGACAGAGAACAACCTCGCTTCGCTTGTTGGGATTCTAGGCCTGGTCCTAGCTTGTTCTCCGTTTCTCCATCTTCGAAGCCCATTTTTGGCATGTTTCGACGACGCGCGATTGTCAAGCTATCGTCGCGCTAAGTGGAGGTGATCCAAGCATTCTAGCATTGTGGTGTTGAAATGACGTTGCTTGATCATTTCAACACAGAACGGAGTGCCCGTCCAAAGGCTCAAGCGTACACAAGTGCCGAAGCGCCGTTCACCCTAGAGGCAAGCGATGGACAGGCACCACTAGTTAGTTGGTGTTTGTCAACCCAAGCGAGGTGAATACGATAGAAAGAGGAGGTTATTGGTCTCAGAATTAGGTGGAGGTGTTGTTTCTAGTTGAGTGTGTGAAGGGAATGTGACTAATGTTTGTTCAATCATGGAACTCAATTCCTCGGTTTCTACCAAGGTACTGCTGACATTGTCAGCATTGAATCAGTTGGTATTCTTCAATCAACATTCCATTTATCAGGACTTGGGTATGTTTGACAATTAGAACTCGTTACAAGCACAAGTCTGACTCTGCATTGAACATGTAACTCTTCCTGTCATGCAGCATCGATCGCCCGCAATGCACATGGCTACGTATCGCATCTGATCTAATCTTGAATGCAGGCAATATGTTGAGTTATGCAGAGCCAATGCAGGCGCATAAATCTCCTTGATTACGGCTCTAGATCAATTGGTCGAGTTTAATTACGTGACGAGGCCAAAAATAACAACAATCAATCCGAATTGAAATCAACGCGTCGCGCCAAGTCGAGATTTGTTTATGTATGCACACAATACTGACACTGACACATTCAACATCAGACTTTCTAAAGCTTCCAATGATACGATTGGTGCGCTCGCTCGCAGCTGAAAACCTGCAATTACTGAAACCGGCATGGAGCTAGGATGCGTGGCAAGTGGTTATTGATGAGTTCTAACGCCAGTGTTTTCAATAGTGAAGAATTCTATGGATAGTAGACCTGAGGCACGGCACTATCGCTGGGATAGCCCTGTAGGATAAATCCGGTTTTCCGCGCTTGTCAGTTCATCATGTGGTTGCTGATGGATGAGATGGTATGCGAGCCCTGAAGTCGAGACGTTGGCGCTCGCATAATAGCAACTTATTGGGTTTGGTGTTGCCGAAACCGCGCCATGCATGCATGTTCATGTTCGTTAGTTACTTGGTTTGACAAACAGGTTCTTTCTGGTGGTGGGAAACTAAAGATTTCCATGTTTATCTCGCTCGTCAAAATTGGGAGCGCTTCACCGCCAGTTGTTTGTGGTTGATCTTTTAATATTGTTAATCTTGAAGTGAATCTGATCAATTAAACTTCTAAAACCTGTCATATTCTAGTCCCGCAGCGATCTTGAAGGTTTTCACTACGAGCAATAGTTCCCAAGACATACATACAAGTTCATTTGTATGTGTGGCCCCCTGCGGTGTCTTGATATAGCAGTCTTGCTATAGTCCCGGCTCGGCGACATCCCTTCTTCTCGTGTCTGGATTCAGCTCCAGCTTCCTTGCCTTTTGCTTCTTATCGTACGCACAGCCTGTTTCCAGGCGCTACGACTTCCTTTGTCATCATATTGAGACATTTTATGGTTGTGTCGTCAAGGAATAGCCCTGTTGTTCGACGTCGACGGGCCAGATGAGTATAGGTTAGGTGACTTCCTGCAGGTGTAAACCAGATTGTTGATACAATCCACATCATACAATTAAAGGCCCGGATTTAATGGGTTTGCCAGCAGCGGCTATTCTCTGTTTGCCTTGTGTACTCTGTTGTAAAATTTTGGTTAGCACTTCTGGGTCATCTAAATGTCAACGTAAATTTGAACACTACAGCAGTAACCAGATAGGAGACACCACTTACACTACGCGGTGCTATAACTGCGGTTTATCAACATTACAAGTTAATCACAGTGGTAGAAAGAGAGTCATTCATATTTAATTTGAAATACAATGATGAACGAAAGTAAGAGGATTACTTTTCACGCAGATATTACCAACATGTTTGTCTTCATTTTGCGACAATCTATCTACCCTAGAGACCGCACGAAACGGCCATCGGCGGGGGTGGTGGCTCACTAGTACCCAGTGGCTCTAAGCTTTAGGGTACATAAATAAACAGCCTAAGATACATGAACTAAGGAGGATAAACTGTTCAACTAATTTCTTCGCTAATGATCCTAGCGGCCAATTTTTTTGATACCCCAATGACTACGCCCACAATTTTCAACGACATCTGTGGCGGGGCATTCAAGGTAATTGAACCGTTCAATCGCAGTTCAATCTATTCTCATAACTCGTCGAATCTTCCGTTGAAGTGACTCGAGCTGTGGATAATTGAAGGACCTCTGTTGAATTAACACTGCTGCTCGTCTGAACCGACACCAGGTCTACTCGTCATCATCATCATGGAGGCTGATATCAGAGCTGTGCTTCCTAACATCGACCCTGTGGTCTCCGAGTACTCCGTGGGCTACCTTACTCACGCCTCTACTACTTATTTAGACGATGATGAGACTTCGGGCGACTCGCCGCTGAATGAGGCTGCTTCCGCCATCACCGAACTTCTACTTTCCGCCTCAGGCCAGTTTAACCCGGAAACCGAGGAGAAGATCAAGCAGCTTGTTGAGAAATGGGTTGACAAGTACGCCGAGTCCAACGGAGGCCAGAATCGAGGACCCTCAACTGTCAGGCGTCTCGATCAAACTATTCAGGTCAGCCAGCAGCGCAACATGTCGTCGACTTTAGCTGTGGCTACAGGTGGCGTCGATCTGGAGTCTGCCAACGCTAGAAAGGTCGAGTCCAAGGTTGACCGCAAGAAGCTCGAAAAGGCTGAGCGAAAGATTGCAGCCAAGCAGCAGAAAAAGACCTTCAAGACTGTCGAGTACGAGGCTTCAAAGCTGCTCGACCAGCCCGAATCGACAGAGTCCTACGAAGAGTTTTACATGGCCGTCAACCCTCTCCAGCTGGGTGCCGGTTCTGCTAATAAGTCAAAGGATATCAAGTTGGACAACATAGATGTATCTATCAGCGGACAACGTATTCTTACAGACACAACGCTCACTCTTGCCTACGGACACCGATATGGTCTGGTTGGTAACAATGGTGTTGGTAAATCTACTCTGCTCCGAGCCCTGTCTCGCCGTGAGGTCGCTATTCCTCTGCACATTTCTATTCTCCACGTCGAGCAAGAAGTAAGTCAATCAATGCCCCAAGAAGAGAGCACAGCTAACAAGACTAGATTACTGGTGATGACACTCCAGCTATTCAGGCGGTTCTCGATGCCGATGTTTGGCGCAAGGTTCTCCTTAGAGAGCAAGAGGTTAGTACACCAACACCTTCCAATATTGGATAAAATCTAACAATTGTAGCAAATTACGGCACGCTTGGCAGAGTTGGAACAGCAGCGAGCTTCCCTGGCCGACACATCTGCCGATGCGGCTAGAATTGACCGCGACAGGGAAGCACAGGACACCAAGTTGGGAGATGTTCAATCCAAGTTGGCTGAGATGGAGTCAGACAAGGCCGAGTCACGAGCTGCCAGTATCCTTGCTGGTCTCGGTTTCTCAACAGAGCGACAGCAGCATGCTACCAGGACCTTCTCTGGTGGTTGGAGAATGCGTCTGGCTCTTGCGCGAGCCCTGTTCTGTGAGCCTGACCTGCTGCTTCTTGACGAACCGTCCAACATGTTGGACGTCCCCTCCATTACTTTCTTGTCAGATTACCTCCAAACCTATCCCAGTACCGTCCTCGTCGTATCTCACGACAGAGCATTCCTCAACGAGGTCGCAACCGACATCATCCACCAGCACTCGGAGCGTCTCGATTACTACCGTGGAGCCAACTTTGATACCTTCTACTCCACCAAGGAAGAACGCAAGAAGGTCGCCAAGCGAGAGTACGAGAACCAGATGGTTCAGCGAGCCCATCTTCAGGCCTTTATCGACAAGTTCCGTTACAACGCCGCCAAGTCCTCGGAAGCTCAGTCACGTATCAAGAAACTCGAGAAGATGCCTATCCTCGAAGCCCCAGAGGCCGAGTACAGTGTCAAGTTCAACTTCCCCGAAGTGGAGAAGCTCTCGCCTCCTATCGTGCAGATGTCAGAAGTTACTTTCGGCTACAACAAGGACAACATTCTGCTCCGCAACGTTGATTTGGACGTTCAACTGGACTCTCGAATCGGTATCGTTGGACCCAACGGTGCTGGTAAGACAACTATTCTCAAGCTTCTCATTGGTAAGCTAAGTCCTTCCACTGGTCTGATCTCACAACACCCTCGTCTCCGAATCGGATTCTTCGCCCAGCACCACGTCGATGCTCTCGACCTTGAGGACAGTGCTGTCGGTTTCATGTCCAAGAACTACCCCGGCCGAACAGATGAAGAGTACCGTCGCCGACTTGGTGCTTTCGGTATCACCGGTACAACTGGTCTCCAGAAGATGGGACTGCTGTCTGGAGGTCAAAAGTCTCGTGTCGCTTTTGCATGCTTGGCTCTTACAAACCCCCATATCCTGGTTCTTGACGAACCTTCTAACCATCTTGATATCGAAGCCATGGATGCTTTGGCCGTGGCCCTCAACGAATTCCAGGGTGGTGTGCTGATGGTTTCCCACGACGTTACCATGTTGCAGACTGTGTGCACATCATTGTGGGTTTGTGATGGAGGTACCGTCGAGAAGTTCCCTGGTGATGTCCAGGCTTACAAGAAGAGGATTACTGCGCAAGCCAATGCTGCCGGTGTTGTTAAGCAGCACTAAGTATATAGTCAAATTGATCAAACGATTGTTGCGTTGTATAACACATTTAATCTGTTTACATCTGGCTTGAACTCTGTTAAATACCTGTGGCACGAAATGCATATGCAGTCAAATGTATTTATTTGTTTTGACCGGCCACCACTTGCCCTCGCAAACCCTAACAATAAAACTCTGTCTTAGATTATCGGACCCTAATAATGCTAATGAATACACCATGCGTGGTTTGTGTTACCTATGACGCAAGTGAATATATGTATTTGGTGAATTTCTTTTATCACTCGAGGATCGGAACACACAATGCGCATTCAATAACAACAATGGACCCCGAATCTCGTCACAGTCCCAACAGATGATGCGCCCCCAGAATCTATATATACCTTCCATTGAAGTTTACATCACATCTTCGAAACAACCTCCACTGCCCGCAGTGCATCAAACTTGACGAGTATTCGTCAAAGAACTTCCTTCTCTCCTCTCCACCCAAACAGCTACAACACCTGGCGAAAATGGAGGGCATCGAAACCACTCAAGCTGTAGTGGCCATGGATTTCTCCGATCCCGATATCGAACCTTGCACCGAATCTACTGAGCACGCTACTCCCACCAAAACCGACGAACCCTCTGCTTCACCCGCGCCCGAGTCCAGCGCTTCTTCCCCTACTACCGAAGCCGATGACAAACAGGATACCATCAGCAAGATCATCGAAGTGAAAAAGACTAGACCTACCCTCCACGTGCGGGAGAACCTCAGCTACTGGAAGTGTAACCAGACCCTCCAGGACGGCAGCACCTGCAGTTCCTACAACGTGATGGAGTTTAAGCAGTGTAAGGACTGCAAGAGCCGACGCGGAGTTGGAGACGACGGCACCGATGCCTACGGTACTAAGGTTGCTAAGATCGTCCACGTCGACAACAAGAACGGAGATGAGTACTGGCAGTATCTCATGGAGGAATAGGCCTATGCGAGATGAACGAATTGGGCGCGGGGGACAGGTCTTTCACGAGGAATGTGATCTCGGGGAAAGAGGATTTAATCGCCATGACATGCAGTCAGGGAAACCGCTTGATATTAAGGGATAGAGGATCATGAGTTATGAATGTAATCAGATTACCTCGAGTTACTGTCTATGCTGCTGTGTCGTTCCCTGAAGAAAGTCTTGGGTCGCACTTAGAGCTATAAAAGCCAGGACATACCTTCCTAAGCTAAAGTGTTGCGAATGAGGGTTGTTTTCTGAGTCGTGGCGGGTTTCTCTCGTTAGGATGGGTGCCGTCTCAGTCACCCCCTTTCTAAAATAAACCACCTCAATAACAACATAGCGACCTCAGATTTGAGATATACTACGTAGTATCTCGAATAGCTCGTGACCATACGATGCATCGAAACACCATCTCAGCAAGGTGAGCGATCATGTGCGGCACACGTTGGCATCTAGGGTTTGGTTTTCCACTGGTTACGCGCCCGGGACTACAAAGATTCATGTATCGCTAGAGTCAGGTATCCTGAATTAAGCATGGAGTTTTAGGTGTTCCTTATGGTATTAGAAAGTTGGCCACTAGAAGCAAGAGACGAAATTAGTAGGTCGGTTTATGCTACTTAGATCATACTCCTTAGGCATGCACTTGTTTCTATACCCAAAGACTTATGAAGCCAACGTTTCTGCTACTTACCAGATGATTTAGATCGAGTGAGAGCATGGCAGCAGGTCATTTCACGGTCTCCAAGGCCTCTATTCGGCAAAAGTTGTTGCAATCTTGAAGTCCCGGAATCGTCTTCGTATGTTTGTTAATTTCGGCTTAGCTCACATGACGAATGCCGGCTTCACAAACCTTGCTGCCTACCTAGGTAGCCATGACTGTACACAATAAGTGAGTGTGTCTTACGGATATATGCCTGATAGCTCGACATTGATAGACGGCAAGACTGCCATAACTGGAATTACGATGCAAATAGAACGGAGCTCGAATGATGATGCATATCGTGATTATCTTTACATCATTGCAGTTTTATTCATGTTGCAAATCGTGACACAAAGAGATGCGCTTTCCAGGTTTCTTCTTGGGTGGTCGACTCATGTTGAAATGCTGATCGTCAAATGTCGTCTATTCATCTCGGATAGTTCAATCGCCAATTGCTGCGGGGCAAATGTTGCTGGCGTTCTTCGGTTCGTTGGTGATATGTACCGAGGAAGCTACTGAGTTCCAGGAATGGACCTTACCAACGTGGCTGACTTCAACGGTCACTGAATGTCAGGTAACAATGCCAACGGCTATAAACGAAACCAGCACACCTTTCGTCACTTACAAATAACCGTTCATCTGTAAAAAAGCGATACTGAACATGGAAACAGTGAAGGCTTCTTTCCATCTTATTTCGTCGCCTTGATCTTCTGGTCTGTCAACCGCTAGATAACAGTGACAGCAACAGGGAGCAGGGGAAGCTCAATTGGCGTACCTGCCACTGTGGAGCCCCCATCTGGCGGCGCTTTGCCTTTCTGAGAGTGTGCACGGATCAACACGTAAACAACGGAGAGCGCTCACTGGCTCAATCGTCAAGAAAGTACCGCCCTGCCCCTTGTTTACATCCTTGCTGGGCCCTGAACCATGGCGGTGAACAATTTCACCCTCCATTCTCCAAACAAAAATCAACATTCCCTCCCACCTCTGGAACTGCCAACCCACTCTCCTACTCCGTCAAAGCTAAGGCTACTTCAGCTCTTGAACTACTTCGGCCCATTTCTTCTTCTCTTTACTCTCCATATCCCATCTTTACATCCACAGCCGTCAATATGCGTGAGATTGTGAGTGCTTTCCATTGACCTCTAACTTCAAGCTACTGCACGCGTTGAGCTTGTCTTCTGTGCTCCTGGTCCTACTGTACCCCGCCGGCCGGCGGCAGCTCAACAACAATGCATGATAGCTCGCAGCTTGATCAATACTCTTCCCCAGAAACAAGAGAAGCTAACCTTATCTTTTTCTTTGCGATAGGTTCACCTTCAGACCGGTCAGTGCGTAAGTATTTATCTGCTCTTCCATCTCGCCCGAGGGAGATGCTAACAATGTTTATTAGGGTAACCAAATCGGTGCTGCTTTCTGGCAGACCATCTCTGGCGAGCACGGTCTCGACAGCAATGGTGTTTACAGCGGTACCTCCGAGCTCCAGCTCGAGCGTATGAGCGTTTACTTCAACGAGGTTTGTTTCATCACTCCTGCCACGAAAAACACAAGCTCACGTGTGTAGGCCTCTGGTAACAAGTATGTTCCCCGTGCCGTCCTCGTCGATCTCGAGCCCGGTACCATGGACGCCGTCCGTGCCGGTCCCTTCGGACAGCTTTTCCGACCCGACAACTTCGTTTTCGGTCAATCCGGTGCCGGAAACAACTGGGCCAAGGGTCATTACACTGAGGGAGCTGAACTTGTCGACCAAGTTCTCGATGTCGTCCGCCGTGAGGCCGAGGGTTGTGACTGCCTCCAGGGCTTCCAAATCACCCACTCTCTTGGTGGTGGTACCGGTGCCGGTATGGGTACCCTGTTGATCTCCAAGATCCGTGAGGAATTTCCCGACCGTATGATGGCAACCTTCTCCGTCGTTCCTTCCCCTAAGGTCTCCGACACCGTCGTCGAGCCTTATAACGCCACCCTCTCCGTCCATCAACTGGTTGAGAACTCCGACGAGACCTTCTGTATCGACAACGAGGCCCTCTACGACATTTGCATGCGCACCCTCAAGCTGTCCAACCCCTCTTACGGCGACTTGAATTACCTTGTCTCCGCCGTCATGTCCGGCGTCACCACCTGTCTCCGTTTCCCCGGTCAGCTGAACTCTGACCTCCGAAAGCTCGCCGTCAACATGGTGCCCTTCCCTCGTCTGCACTTCTTTATGGTCGGATTCGCTCCCTTGACCAGCCGTGGTGCTCACTCTTTCCGTGCTGTCAGCGTTCCTGAGCTGACCCAGCAGATGTTCGACCCCAAGAACATGATGGCTGCTTCCGACTTCCGCAACGGTCGTTACCTGACCTGCTCTGCCATCTTCCGTGGCCGTGTCGCCATGAAGGAGGTTGAGGACCAGATGCGCAATGTCCAGAGCAAGAACTCATCATACTTCGTCGAGTGGATTCCTAACAACATCCAGACCGCTCTCTGCGCTATCCCACCTCGTGGACTTACAATGTCTTCCACTTTTATTGGAAACTCCACCTCTATCCAGGAGCTTTTCAAGCGTGTTGGCGAGCAGTTCACTGCTATGTTCCGACGCAAGGCTTTCTTGCATTGGTACACTGGTGAGGGTATGGATGAGATGGAGTTCACTGAGGCTGAGTCTAACATGAACGATCTTGTCTCTGAATACCAGCAGTACCAGGATGCTGGTATTGACGAGGAAGAAGAGGAGTACGAGGAGGAGCTGCCTGAAGGCGAGGAGTAAGATACTCTAATGTGCTGAAACCACCGGTCGTCTATGTTGTCTGCGTTCAATAGCCGGCCTGCAATTTCTTTTCAGGGTGTAGTTGTTTAATTCCGGGGTTAAGATATCCTCACAATCGGCAGTACACGACAGATGTACCAGTCAAATAAAATTCAGAAGTACTATTGTACCAATTCTATAGTCCTAAAACATTGTGAAGTTGAAATTGGAAATAGAGTTAACGTTTATTGTCACGTTCTACATGTGCCGATGAGATGAAGTTGAACTGATGTGGGTGTTCCTCAAAGTCTAATAGCTCTGATTCACGCAGACTCGTCACGAAAGATAGGGCTCTTAGAGCAACCTTATTCTCGCACAATACCAAAGCAACATCTGCTAAGCAGCCCACTTGTTCTTCCTTCAACACACAGAACACACAGAGATGAAGTTGAATGTCGGTGATCGGACCACTCTTGTCCCGATCAGTTGTTGAGTGATTCCTACAGCACGTGATGTCATGACTAAGCACGAAAAGTCGAGCTTCGATGGTCTGAACATCGTCCGTGAAGCCAGCCAGCATTGCAGCACGCCCACGACAGCCATATCGACACCAATGGCTGCCATGTTCGCTCCCAGCCGGGGGAAGGCATTAGGACGAGCCATTACGGCCTCGTCGTCTGGCCCTGTCACACTTCCTGGCTTCTTGGTGCCGGCATGGCAGGCGACAGCACCACGAGCCACTACCGCACTCTTCTCCACGACCTCGAAACGGCCCTCTAAGCTTGGCCGAACACCTCTCTCGATTCCTCCTGGAGTGGAGCTTTCCGTTGGAGAACCTGTTGCGAAGAAGGATTTGACATCGTACAAGAAGGTGTATAAGAAGACCATCAACATCAAGGGACCGTTGGGTGCGTTAGAATAAGTCCCCAGGAGGGAAAAGAGCGAATTGCTGACTGATTGTTAGGATCGCTCGATCTCGAGGTTCCCGAATATGTGCAGCTCACTCAGGATCTTGACGCCAAGAGCGTTTTGTTGAGCGTTCGGGACAATGAAGCCAAGGACCAAAAGGCAATGTGGGGTAGGTTTACATATTCGGTGCTCTCGACGCAATTGATGCTGATAATTGTGTAGGAACTACATGGTCTTATCTCAGGAACTACATCATGGGCGTTTCAGAAGGCCACACAGCCATTCTCCGTCTCGTTGGTGTTGGTTACCGAGCCAGTGTCGAAGAGCGAGGTGCCAAAGAGGAATTTCCTGGCCAGCGTTTCCTGTGCCTCAAGCTGGGTTTCACGCATCCCGTCGAGGAGGGTATCCCCCGCGGTGTCACCGTTACGACTCCTGCGCCTACACGTATCCTGATTGAGGGAGTTGACCGTGAGGTTATCATGTCCTTCGCTGGGCGAGTTCGCATGTGGCGTCCTCCGGAGCCTTACAAGGGAAAGGGCGTGTTCATCAACGACCAAACGATCAAGCTGAAGCAAAAGAAGATCAAATAGAGAAATGGCATTTGGGGAACTTGTATTGGCCGGCTTGGTGGCCTATTGGACGCAGCTGGCGTGTGTATTCTAGTATCATGTACAGAATTTGTACTATTTGACGAAGCATATACAAAACTACTATTTTTTTTAAACTCTTGGAGTTCTCGCTTTCATTCAAGTCATATCATTTTCCCTTCTTATTCCTCCTGACGATTCTATGATTGCTTGGCGCTCAGGACCTCCTGAACAGCCCTGAGAACCTTGCTGTGAACAGCAGTGGGAGCAGCAATAACACCCTTGTTGTTGGCAAGAGTGCGTCCAACGCTGAAGTCGAGGCGCTTGCCATGAATGTCAGTGACCTGGCCACCAGCTTCACGGACAATGAGGTCACCAGCAGCGTGATCCCAGATCTTCTCCTGGTATGTCGCCTTAACGGGCAGGCGAAGGTAGATATCACCAGCGCCACGGGCAATGGAGCCGTACTTGGCTTGGCTGTCCATGCGAACACTCTCCTGTGTAATACCGAGCTTCTTGGAGATGAGAGCTTGGTCGTCGTGCGCAGAGTGGCCAGCCTCGACACTCTCGCAGAAAGTAGCCTTGGAGAGATCGTCGATGCTTCGCATAGAGATGGCCTTCTGGGCAGAGAGGGCGCTGGTAGTCAGAGGACGGCTGTTGGCGCCGTGACCCTGGACAGCAGAGAAGATGACGCCGCGACCCTCGTCGGTGGCATTGGCGCCAATGTCAGATGTCAGGCGGGCTGAGTCGTCGACTGGGAGGTTAGGGCAACCGAGAACACCGACCTTGACGTCGCCATCAACCATGAGACCCAGGCAGACGGCGTATTGTCCACCACGGAGGAAACCCTTTGTACCATCAATGGGGTCAATGGCCCAGATGCGACCGCTTGAACCGCCCTGGCTGCCACCTCTGTCGATTAACTCGAGCATATCCTCAACATCCTTGATGGGACCGCCGAGTTGCTTCTCAGCATCCTCATCGTCGAGCTTGGTAGAGCTGACGAGCTCCCAGATAGTCTGTTTGAGGTTCGCATCCTCCTTGAGCTGAGCAGCCTCCTCCTCAGCGACGATAGCGTCGTCGGGGAAGTTGTGACGGAGGGCAGCAATAATGAGAGCCTGGGCGCCAAAGTCACCAATAGTGACAGGGCTCTTGTCGTTCTTGTCAACGGTGCCCTTGGCCTTCTCGTGGAAGACACGCTTGGTGAGGATGGTGGCGCGCTGAACGGCGAGCTCAGCGATCTTGAGCTCTGAGGCGTAAGACGGGGCGGCCATAGTTGCGAGCGGTCGATTGAGGATGAGAAGATGGGAAGATATTTGGCGGAGACGGGGGATGAATGAGGGCGACAGAAAGATAGCCAGGGTGATAGTGAGTAGAAAGAAAAGGAGGGATCTAAAGAATATTGACATTCAAGGTAGAGAGCAAGGTACCACTGGGTACTATATGCAGTAGTAGGATAGTAGTAGGTAACGTGGGATGGCGCAATTGCTGTATGGTTGGTCTCTTTCGGGTCGTCGGGCGGGTCGTCGCTGTGACTGGGTCTAAGATGAGTGGGATGTGGATTAATTGATTGAAGGATCTGATTAAGAGTGTGAGGGAAAGAAAAGAAGTGGGATGAGCTGTTGAGGTTGTTTGAGCTATGTGACGTGAGACGAATTGGTTTAGCGATGGAGCGATTTACAAGTTGGTAGAGTATATGTCTCTGTTCATTCTTTCTTAATGTATAATTCAGTCTAATGGAATGATATCAACTCAATTGACTTTAATCAATATTAGTAATTAATAACACAGAGATATAACTAAATGTCATTTGGACTAAGGCAATAAAAAGCTATTATCTCTATCATGTCTACTTCCACTTTGCCCCGCCATTCGACTCTGATATCAATGAGGGGCATTTTCTCATTCCCCTTCTCATTCTCACGTACCGACATTTTCCCCCCCTTGTTCACAGCGGAACCATCCGATTGGCCCGTCATTTCGAGCATCCCATCAATTCAAACCCGACAATCCAAATCATTTTATCATCCCTCTCCCACGCTTTCAGTACCACATCTTATACCGAATACGAAACACCAAAATGGCTTCATCACCCGCATCTCTACGTTCTCTCTACCGCTCCCTCCTCCGGGAGCTGCCACCTCGACCTGTCCTCGCTTCACCACGCTCTGCCCTGCACTCTCGCCTCCGAAATTCATTTACTTCCGATTCAAAGGATGCGACATCGCCCGACGCCCGGGCTCATGCTGCTGCCCAGGCCATTGCTTACCTTCGATCTCAGCGCATGTATGCCACGCTGCTCGAGCGATATAACCCTGGTATGGGTATGGATGAGGAGGAGCGTGTTCGCTTGACTGCGCGAAGAGTTGGCATGGATCTGCCGGTCGAGTACAAGTGAAAAGCCCACACACGAATTGGAATGAACACGAAAAGGGAAACAAAAACGATAGAAGGGATCCAGAAGACGGCTGGAGGTGATTAGCGAAATCTGAGCATGTCAAAGAGAACTGTCACCATATGCAATGAAACACCCAATCTCGAGCATCACGGAAACGGATATCAAACGATACAGGAAATGCACAAAGCACCAAGAGCTCAAACAAAGCGCATGGACATGTCAGGAGAGATTTTTCGGCCTCTTCTTACCAGAAAAAATGTACGAATAAGTGTATGAAACAGACGCAATACCCAGGCATCATAGAGAGCAAACAATTCATTATCATATCATTTCTCATTCATTCCAAGGACACGTTTGGTCCAAAATCGACAATTATATACAGAATAGTAATCGTTTCTAAAAGATCGAGTATATATGGCTCAGGGGTATCAACATTAACTCACTTCTCATATAGGCTTCTAAACTCCGCCTACTCCTCCGTCTTCGAGCGACTCGTCCCAGCCGCCCATCTGCAACAGCCATTCTCCCAATCGCTCCTTGACGAGTGTCATGTTCTCGCCTAGGGCACTCTTCCATTGATCTTGCACTAGGCGGACCTTCTCCTTCAGGTCCTCAGTAAGTCTGTGTTCTTCTGAATGTCGCATCTCCTGCGCTCGCGCCTTGCTGTCGGCCTTGGGAATTGGGTTTCCGTTCTCATCCTGTGTTTGAGTCTCGAGCACTTTGCCCTTGGCATGTACTACCGCCTCTTTGACCTCGTGAAGTAAACACAACAAGTTCGTGTGAGACTCGATGAACTGATATGTGCTTTTTTCTGCGTGAAGCAACAGGCTGAACAGATACTGCATTGGATGTTCGACATATGATGGATTTTCGTCAATTTCAGACCCCGGAATCAAAATGTTAAACCCTTCTAGATCCAAAGGAATGCTGTCCAATAGTTCGCATAGCGGGGGCGCAATATCCCAAAACGCCGACAGCTGCAGTGCAACGCCGTGATCGACAGCCTTTTCGACCACTCCCCTGAAGTCTCGTGTTCGTTCCAGAACTTCGTGTGCAAACGCATATTCGCGTTTAGCCGAGTCTTCCGCGAAGAAGGCCTCAGCTGACTTGAGCTTCTCGGTATTCCCGGAAAGTCGATAAGGAGTCAATACAACCTCACAGTATCGGCCGTTACGATCCGATAGAAGATCATAGATGGCTCGGTGAAGACCTTCTCGTGCCTCGAAAACCCATTTGAGCAGAGTCAACTTTTCCAAAAGTTCTGGTCTATCGTCACCTTCTTCTTGCGGCATGTCAGCGTCGATATGTTCGTTGTCGAATAGATGCAGAGACAAATCGTCGAATAACTCGGTCGCACGTGAAATACGCCCTGTCAACAACTCGTTCAAAGGCAGTACCACCTGATTCTGGAACAGCTCATATTCCGACTTTTCCAGTTCTTTTTTCTTTGCGATCTCGTTGACCTTTTCGTCAGCATCGATAGTTCCTGCGTCTGCATAGCTTAAGCTGCCAGAGTTGATCTCATTCTGCAGGTGTGCTCGCAAAGCCTGACGGCGCTCAGCCGCAGCTTTAGAAAATTGTTCTCGTCTTTTGGTACTCTCGACGGTGAACCGTTCTCTCGTCTTCGTCAACTCATCGAGCTGGCTCAAAGCTCGCACTGCAGTTCTGATTGAAGTCAACTCTGGGTGTTTGTTGTTAACAGCAGGATGGTGCCTTGGATAAGGAGGTGGCATCGTGACGAGTCGAGATACGTCGAGCTGATCACGATTGGTCATTGATGAGGGACTCGAGCCCATATTGGAAGCAGTGGCAAAGCCGAACTGTTGGGGCGTAAGACTGGGCTCCGACTGGTCGTGCCAGCCTGTCTTCTCAGGAGGATATTCAGACACCGAACCCTGTTCCTCATATACCACAGGAGGTCGATCCTCTTCAACCCATTGCGTTTTGGTCACACCCATATACTTTGATTCTCTCTTGGACCTGCCCAGATGAGAAGCCTCGCCCTGTGAGTCTGATTCCCACCAACGACTTGGGGGGCGACCTCGGGAACTCCCATTCTCATAGTTTTCGCTGACGCTCATGCTTAGAATCGGTGACAAAGAAGGCATGTAATTGCCGGACCAGTTCACGTTCGGTGGGTTGTTGCCGCTTGGCGAGATTGGCACATTGGCTGCTTTAGAGGTAGACTGTGGGCTCTCCCCAACGTTGGAGCCTACCGAACCTCGACGAGACGGCCCTGGCTCTGATAAGCCAGGTGTATACTGATCATGCGAAGAAGCTGAATCTCTTCTCGTTTGGGTTACCATCGGTCGGAATAGGTCGCGGGTAAGGTCGAATATTTCAGAACCCATGGCCCCGATAGCTACAGAATATCGTTCACGTCTGATTCTTGACTCATTCACAACAAAATCGGCGAACAGACGTACCCTGTCTGCATCGGTGGCGGCTTTGGACTCCTTCATAGCGAACTCGCGAAATCGATCAACCGTCCCTTCTGCAAATTGGCTGGCAGTCTGTGTTGTTACCAGATGCTTTGACACTGGGAGACCGGCTGAGGGTGGTCTCGAGGATTCCCGGACCCTAGAGACTGATGCCACAGACCCGGATCTTGGAGGCGGGGTAGGAAGCGCTTTGGGAGCGACTGCCTTCGAACTGCTACCATATTGCACGTATTTATGAGCGTTGGGGGAGAACGGTGGTGTTTCAGCTTCTTGAGGCAATTTTCCCGATGCTGGAGCTCTCGGGGTTGAGTTTCGTGAATCTTGTGATGTAAGTGTATCGCTGAGAGGTGTTGACTTGCCGATTGACGCCCGCGACAAATCCGTCGAGTTCGGCACCATGATATCCGCCATAGAATCCGGACGGGTCCGCTCATCTATGGAACTGCGAATGCTGTGCCTGGTTCGACTCTCGGTTCGCCGCTGCAAAATCGTTTTGTCATGTCGTACTGCCTTTTGCCGGTTTAGCCCATTAATACTCGATGAAGAACTAGGAGCAGGCTCAATGGGTGGACTGGAGGGTATCGAAGTATCGATAGTAAGGCCCGGTGACCGTCTTCGATCCGACGGTCCTGCTTGGCTTTCATTCTCGTTCCAATCCGCAGGTGTAGGTGGAACAGGTCCCAGATTTGTTACCCCTGCTGGCGGTCGTCGTCTGTTTACAGGAGGGGATATGATTGGAACCGAATTCCTGTCCATAGACTGAACACTCTGCGACCTACCCGAGGAAGGCGGAGGAGGCCCAGGAGGGGGCGGAGGGAGAGGCATGCCTGGCTCCCACCTGGACTGAGATGTTGATCGTGAGCGAGCAGATGTGGGTGTCTCTACAGCTCCGGCAGAAACAGCTCTTCGGGCTGCTGGGGGGCCATGATGCATGACTCCGCCAATTCCATGTTCGGGACTAGGTTGATGAAACGAAGTCTGGACTATCATACTTTGCCGGTGACTCTGGGGTGGTGGTTGAGGTGGTGGAGTGCTCGAGTTGTCGGTGTCTCTACGGCGGCCTAATGATGGAAGGAAACGACGATCCCGTGAGCCGTTGCGCGTCCCTGGAGGAGGAGGGAACGACGCATTGGCCGGTTCTGGGGAAGGCCGATGCATGGTCGCACTCAGTCGGGGTGGCGGAGTTGGAGTTCCATTCGGTGTAGAGTCAAAGACTGTACTGATGGGTCTCGGCTGCTGACCTCTGGGTGGACTATATGGCGGAGGAGGCAATGGCGACACTGTCGAATGTTAGGACACAGATGACAACAAATTATACTGACCCTGTTAGCCACTTGCCTTGAACCTCGCCTGCATATTGAACAGCACGCTCGGCGACAGCGGCCTGCGTAGGAGCCCATTCTTGAGGATTATAGGGCTGTATACTACTGCCGGGCGTTTGGGCAGCAGAGTGATAATGACTGGAGGTCATGGACACGGCAGATATGGGCGTTTGTAGGTGGTTGTTGTAGATACCCGGAGTTGTCGTGAGAGGAAGAAGGCCCTGGCGAAGTCGCGCCGGATCGCGAGAAGTCATGATGAAGGATTAAGCAGGGCCAAGAGACTATAACTTTACTCGACCGCTAGGTCCAGGGTCCTTGTGATGGGGACAAGGCCAAAAGGAACGTCTTAGTGACAGACGTATCAGCGCTGTCTCTTTGGCGGTTGGTTCTGGTACGTGGGGTCCTAGGATGGATCCGCGGGGTGGCGGCGCGTGCGAACAGAGGGAGTGAGTCGATGGGCTTAGGTGAGGATCACGACAGGCTGAACAGGAATCGACAATGGAGCTGAGACGACAAGTAACAGGATGCCGATCACCTTGATCTGACTGACCAAACAGCTGCTTGTTTGAGGTGATTGCGTTTATTGGAGAAACGAAACTGACACTCAAAAATAGTGTATGTAGGTATGCAGGTGAGGCTCTGCGTGTAAGAAGTTGTCGGTCAATTGACTGTCAAGGACGGAAATATCTCTCATCAATCCATCCGTAGTAGCTGCAGCCAGGACGATTAGTACGTCCCTTAATGCACAACCAACCAAATGGGAATAGAAATGTGATTGAGGATTATCAAGGATGTAGGGAATAAGAGAGAGTGTGGTCGGGTTGGGAACTTTTTGGGGAGGAGGGGCTCTGTTACAAGCAGGAGGTACTAACCTACCCCTGCGAGGAAGTACCTAAAGTACGGTACGAAGCAGGTAGTTTGAAATCACAACAGCTCACTATTCGGGGGTCTCAGTGGGAGCGGGAGAGAGGAGGAGGCAAGAGGGCACTGTAACTAAATAAAGCGAGAGTGAGATGTTGACTTGAAACCGTTTTCTGCTTTCTGTTTATCGCCGATTAGACAAATCAAGCCGAGCCCTGTCTGGGGTGTCTTCTTGGCGGAGACTTTGCTGGGGTGGCATGAACGCTATCAGAGTGTGGAACAAAGAGAGTTGACATGGATAGGATGCTTCGCTTCGTGGGGAGTTTGTGGATGACCAATTGTTGGTTCGGGATGGGCAACAGTAAGGGGGATCTACAGGTCTACTATACGCACGTATTGAGGGGATTCTTACTAGGAATGGTAGTTCAAAGTCTTCGACCGCTTCTTGTAAGAAAGACACTCAGCTGACAAAGTTGAGAGATGGCGTCCTGATTGTACCGTAGTTTGGTATCGTCAATCTTAAAGGGTGCTTGTTCATCTGTTGGTCTTTGATGCTGGAGCATATATCTGCGAGCACGAGGCACATATGAGATTCTGTCAAAATCTACCCGGATTATCACCGTCTTGCTTGCCTCTCCTCTCACATACAATGGCTGGAAGATTGTCACTACCTACCTATAGTAGGCAATCGCATCAATTCAGACCCCGTTGAGTGGAAAGGTTGGGATAGACTTGCAGACAGAGCATTCTATTCTTAGAATCATGCTGTTGCCCTTCACTTACTTCTATTGGACAAGGTGGGTAGACTATGCGGGTTGGGTGTGGATGCCGGCGCTTAATCGACGTCCCTCGCTGCCTGTCACATTTCCTAGAAAGTCAAGACCCATGACTTAAAAAGCCGTTCGCTTCAAAAATCTGCATGGTTGGATCGAATACTAACAGTAGCTGCATAATAAGTATGTGCAAGGGGGATGATCGTGGGCTGATACTGAGTTTTATACATTGCTACCTACCTACCTCTACTCGACGGGATGCTTTGCGAATACTCCGAGATCCTTGCGCAGAGTTCCATCCAGAGCACGGGACATGATAGTACCGAGTGAACAGACTGACATCTTAATAACGCAAAAGACGGTCAAATGTGAAATTCAAATATCCTTTTTTATACTCTAAATAGAAATGGCCAGTGCATCAAATACAATAAATAGACAGAAAGCTTAGTGTATTCGAACAGCACTCTCAGAGCAACAAATGCAACAGCTGACTAAATTTGCGGCGTTGCTTTATAGCACTTTGGCTAAATCAATCCCACAGCTGTCACTCAACAAACTCGAGTTTCAAATCAGCCAAGCATATGTTCGTCTCAAGTCAGACGGGTCTTGCTTGACTCGTATGCCAAGTTATTTCTGTGATTTTTACTCGTATTTATATCACACCAGTCCGATTCTACTAGTTATTGCTATCAACCAACATCATAACCATGGATCTGTCAGTGGTTGCCGACTTGTACTCCCTTGAGCGAGTACTTGTTAATCGGATAATATGCTTTCAGGTTCCATTGATTGCTTGAGCTGACATGCGCATTACGCTTATCCGGTAACAAACCGTTTCTTTTAACTCAATCCACGAGTTGTTAGCACGGCAAACCTACTACGCAGATAACGACAACGACTCAGGACAGTTGGCAACATATGCATAAACTTTATCTTGCAGAAGGGGAAAGCATATGGGCTATCAACCTTGACAAGTTGAACGGCAGCATTCCATGACTACCAAGTAAAAGCTCAACTTGAAATCGCCTACCCTATGCTCATTGACAAACTCTGACATCTCGAGGCTGAAGAGATCGAGATCGAAAAACACGAGGCTGGGTCTTGCCCGCCTATGAAATGAGCCCCACTTGAAGCTCCCCAAATGTGGGGGCACAAGGCTCAAGTAAAATTCTAGAGGATTCTTCTCCAAAAGAACTCTCCTCTCTTTCCATCTCTTCATATTCTGCTCTGCTCTGCTCTGCTTTCTTCCTTCTCTTCTATTTATTTGCCTTTTCAAACAACGTTCTCTTGCTTTCCTTCTTCAATCTCAATACCCTTTTCACTAAATTGTAAGTACCACAAACGTTCGTCTCGTACACCGTCGCATCTTGCATGATGAGATACCAGCTGGCACCAGTCATAGGGTGACTTGTACTCCCTCCATTGATGACCTATATGCTGTGGTCTTAGAACCATATCTGATTCCAATTGCGACATTCAATTTTCACTCGTTCAATTTCTGTCCGATCAAAAGCTAACAGCTTCAAAAGTCACAGTCACAACAGCGCTTCCACGACTTCACAATGGTTCTGCACAACCCCAACAACTGGCACTGGGTCAACAAGGACGTCTCAGGATGGGCCAGGTCCTACCTCGACGAGTCTGTCACCAAGGTTCAGGTCGAGGACGGTGAGGTCAAGGCTAAGATCGATAAGATCCAGAGCATGGATGGTGATGTCGACGTCAGCCAACGTAAGGGCAAGGTGATTACCATCTTTGACGTCAAGCTGGTTCTCCAGTACTCTGGTAAGGGAATGCGGTTACTTAGACTACAGACGTGAAACTAACCTTGCAGGATCTGCTCCCGGTGAGGATGATGTTTCTGGCACTATTACCGTGCCTGAGCTCGCCCACGACACGGAAGAAGACGAGTACGTGGTACGTAAAACCTCCCCTGCTCTTTCGCCTTCCGTGTTGCCGTAGAATAAATCCGCTAAGACCCCTCGTAGTTTGACGTAGACATCTTTGCCGAGTCCAAGGAGAAGCAGCCCGTGAAGGACCTTGTCCGATCAAAGATCGTGCCCCAGCTGCGACAGGAATTCCAGAAGCTTGCCGGCGCCCTCATCGCCGAGCATGGCAAGGATATCCAGCATGCTCCAGGCTCAAACCCTTCAAGCGGTTTCTCGACCCCCAAGGTCCACCCCCAGAGCTCTACCCCTAAGCCTGCCGTCACCACAAGTACCCAGTCCAAGACTGGTAGCGTCGTCAACACTACCACGGTGACTGATAACGAGGAGTTCCGAACCACTGCCGAAGAGCTATACCAGACTTTTGTCGACCCCCAACGAATCGCTGCCTTTACACGATCCCCTCCCAAGGTTTTCGATGGTGCCAAGGTCGGCGGCAAGTTTGAACTGTTTGGCGGAAACGTCTCCGGCGAGTACCTCGAGCTCGAGCAGCCCAAGAAGATCACACAGAGCTGGCGTTTGAACCAGTGGCCCGCCGGTCACTTCTCCAAGCTTCACATGGAGTTTGACCAGAACGATGTTGACCACGTTACCGTTATGCGAGTTAAGTGGGAGGGTGTTCCTATCGGCCAGGAAGACGTTACCAAGCGCAACTGGCTTGAGTACTATGTCAAGAGCATTAAGCAGACCTTTGGGTAAGTCGCACATATACCTGCTGCATACTGTGCCACAGCCACTGACATTTTCCAGTTTCGGCACCATTCTGTAAGCGAAAGAAGAGAACCAGGAGTCGTGGAGTTGGGCTATGACCGGGGTTCAAAGAAACAATGCGCTCTCTAGATGAGGGTAGTGATTGGGTTAAAGTCACTGCTGTGGTGGAGGAGGGCGGACGTCGTCTTGGGTGGTCTACGCAAGACCTAGGAGCGTGTGGTTATGATATTATGAGCGACGTAAAAACGAAATAATGCATCATCCATGGATACAATTTGCGGCTATACGATACTGTTGTGATGATATAAAATTAGTTCTTCGCCATGAAAAATTATGTTGCTAATGATACTCAAAACACCTTTACTCATTGTTGACAATATCTATACTCTATTGTTTTTACTCCATCAATCTTGTGCTGTCCCCATGTGGTCTAACTCCATTGACTTCACCGCTGTCCACGTGTTCCTTCGTCGATCGTCCCTCTGAATCGGTGCTATTGTCGTGTTTCAACATGGCACCCGTTTCCTCTCCCTTCTGGATTGGCAACCGTAGTCTTCCGAGATCCCGCCTGGCCACTTGGTACCCCGAAGCCAAACCTGACACTTCCTGAGACAGAGAAATAGCTTCCGTACGAGCCAGATATGCATGTTGTCCCATCCACGAAGTCAGAACAGGTGGACCAAGCCACACGCGGAATATCGTAACCAAGATAGCAAAACAGCCGAGAATAACAAAGACAACAGCGGCAGCGATATAACATCCCGAGTACCTGCCCACTCGGGTTCCCTCGTAAGTTAGCCTGTTTTCTCCTGTGTATTTGGCCCCATAAACTTCGAACTCTTCCTCAAATGGCATATCGTCATCCTCAATATATCCCGTCGGCAACAGATCCATCTTATAAGCGGCCATGACCACTCTGATAATTGCACTGACGGCAGTGAGAAGTGTGGTATCTTGGGTCTTGATAAGGGCTTCTAGCCAAACACTGTACTCAGGCATCTTCTCGGTGATATTAACATAGTCTCGTCCTATTTCCTCCTTTGTTATCACTCCCCTTTTTCGGAGAAAGTTTTCGAAAGTGTCGTTGTTGAAAGCACGTCGATGCATGCCACTACCACCCCTTCCCGCAATAGTCATGCAGTTCTGGGCTTCCACGTATCTATAGACTAGAAACACGCCTGCGTCCATAACATATCGGGTGCGATTAACCACGGGCACTTCCCATGTGCCTGAAGAATTGCTGGGTGCCTTTGCCCATTGTATTTGAAGCTCTGCAAACTTGGGAACACGATATTCGATGATAGCCTTCTGTGGAGGGTAAAAAAATCTGCTGTTGGGTACCTCGATCCTCTGCCAGTCGCCCTTATCTTCTGTCATGGTGAATGTGCCTTCGGCGATTGAACTGTTAGCTGTTAACGCCAGTTCTCGAGTGGCCATGCGCCCAAAATCTTTGTGGCTAAAAGGAGGATCAGAAGCATTGCCATGGAGGCAACTGGCATGGCCAGCCATAACCAACATGCTGGGTGGGAGAGTTGTATTCGCACCACCGTCATATTCGACCTTGCCTTGCCGCAATCGCTCTCGCTGATAGATATGCGAAAACGAGCGACTGATGTCCTCAAGCGGAAAGTCGGAGATCCAAGGCTCCGGTTCAGAGAAAGAAGTGTCATTTGTTATCATTGACATTCGATGAGGTAGAAAGCGGACAGTATCTCGAAGGAGGTTTTCTGCAACCCAAACGTCTGGTGTAATAAAGGCGAACTTGTAGCCAACGGACGTAGCGACACCCATGGAGATAATGATGTATCTCAGAGTAACAAAGGCTGGAAATCCTCTAAGGCCGTAGAGTACTGGCGCCCGGGCCTGAGAGTTGAGATACCGAGCATAGTCGAGCCCACTACCACGTTGAGCTTGTCGGCTGCACCAATGATCAAATATATGCATATACGTCTCTGCGAAGCCAAATGATAACAATCCAAAAGCAACGCCTGTAATGGCAATCCATGTTTGGAGACTCCATGTGATACCAATCTTGAAAGCGACTTGGCCTGAGACTATTGATTTCATATACATCGACATCATAAAGGCAGGGGTTATATTTCGATCATAGCCACGACTTGATTTCGGATCGTAGTTTGAGAGGGCATTGACACCGACCAGAATGAGGATAAGCCCACCGATGAGAAGCGCTGATAGCGAGGCAGTCCCAAGCATCTGAAGTCGTCGAGAACGAGAGGAATCGAGTGGAGTCATGGCGAGTTGGCTTCGACACAGATGATTTAGGCCTTAAGATGCAAACAATAAATAACCAAGGATATGTCTGGAGTCGATTTCGTCTCTTGTGTCCTTAGCAGCCGAGTTCTTTGGTGCCGCAAAGGCAGTCGGTTGCATATTCAGGGCTTAACGATCCTTTGATTAAACAGTTCAAAAGTCAAGGTTATCTCCACATCATCATACTGTTACGTCCTGCCGACAACTGACATCATCCAGCAGGACATTGCTCGAACCCCTTGTTGGTGATTCTGCAGAAGCCAATAAATCAGCTTGACAGTTGACAAGGATTGTCATCCTTTTAAGTTTTGCAGTCAAGTTAAGGTACCCCGCAGATTCAGCCTGTAGATCACACACTGAAAGCAGATTACATTCATTGTTTGTTGTATATCAGCGCATGGAAATACAAGTTTTATCTCCTACGCCGTCTCTCTGCATTTGGCTCGTCAGCCCTTTGACCAAATCCATAGTCAGGCACAAAGACGTCAACCAAATTATCCCACAATCCCATATCGTATAGATTCTCAACATTGCTCAAATTCCAGACACGCTCCCATGAGCCTTGCCCAGGAAGCCGGAGATTCTCGGCTGGAGGCTGTCCATCCTGGGTTGTAACAATTATCTGCTGAACATCAACTGGCCAGCGCGCACAACGAGGCTCGACTCGTTCGTTCTTCTCGCGATCCGCGGGCATAGACCGGCGGAACGCAAACCCATCGGCCATGTCCTCTTTCCACTCTGACCACTTGAGAGTCTCGTTCGTCGTAGTACCACAGTAAACAAGATACAGTGTGTAGAGGAGAAGTCCCCAGACAAGTGGAGATGTAAGAGCAGCAAGAAGGGATGAAGCTCCCATATTGACATTATCCTGGATGCCCCAGCCCCAACCGGCCAGATACTGAGTAACAGTCATATGGCTGGGCTTCCATATAGACCATCCAGGACTGTATCTTTGCACCCGCACTGTAATGATTGACATCCCGAGGAAGCCACCATAGGTGCATAGAAAAGCAGTGGACAGCAGCAACAACAAGAACCAGTGCTGGTTCCCATAACCAACACATGAGTTGATGAAGACGCAGTGGTGGTCAGATTTGGCGACGCAACGCTTGCAAAGACTGCAGTGCTTGGAGCGAGGAGGCTTCAGGAATTTGCAGGTCCGACATACATGACCTGGGTGAAATAATGTGTGATCATACGGATAGAGTGACATGTAATATGCATGGTTCTCAGGCGTGATGTAGCCCGGATCGGCGGAACATGCCAGGTAGAGAAATAGGTAAGGGAGAAAGACCGTGATGGCGACAACGCATTTCGTGAGAGGTCCGATCTTTGGCCATGCTTGAGGAATAAACATGTACTCGCCCACAATCATAATGAGTGAGAAGAAGAGCTGAGGGTGTTAGTTTGGCGTCTCATTGTAGGGCCAGTGTGACAACTTACCACTATAGTCCAGTGTCGCTCATGCAGCATATGGTTACCAAATCGAGACAGGTAGGTCGATACTCTCCCCCCAGTGAGCACCTGGTCCACTCTCATGATTCCATTTGGTATATGAATCCATATTAGCCTGTGCAGTGCAGCTATCGGTGTTCGTCTAGTCGAAATGTCAGTTTCCTGAGTGTAAAGCCATTGTTTCGGTACTAACCGAAGTGCAGGTATGCGTCCAAAAAAGGCCACAAAGACCATGAACGAAATAAAGAGAATCAAAAGAATGAGTTTCTTTAAGGGAGTCATCTTTCCGGACTACTAAGAATGGGGGTTTGAAGAATGTAAGAGACAGATTTACCAAGTCAGTAAGAAACTTGGCATAGAAAGGATTGCAAATATGAAGGATAAATCAAGGTATCATTTTATCGCAATGAGAAGGATATGGAAAAGAAAAAAGAAACAATAATGCAAATGTATAACGGCGGCCAAAGTATATCTGTATGAATGATAAGATTAAGACAAGGCAAAGTAAGAAGTACTGCTTATTCAGTACTAAGGTATGGCTTCGATAGCTACCCATTAAAGCCACGTGACTCCGCGATACATATCAACGGGAAAGGACATGGATCATCTAATTGGCTACGTCAAACCCGCTGCGATGATGGCGACTTCTTTCGTTTTTGGAGGGGGATCTCCATGCTTTGATAATCATGAACTACTAAAGAAACGAGCGGCGGTTTTCGGACATTTAAAAAATATTTACACAATAAACTTGTTTTTATATATTTATAGACTCAACTAGAAAAAGGATTCCGTTCTTCTTTTCTTTATCTGGTTTAACTTATATATACACAACCATGGTTCTCCGCAAATTCGAGCTCGAGGGAAAGCTTGGAGAGGAAGCTCGGCTCATCGAAAGTGGCGTTCTCCTCGATGAGAATCCTCTCGATGAAACCCCCGAATTTCATGACTTCCTCATGGCTTGTCGAAGAGGGGATTTGAGAAGATGCCAGGAGCTTATCAGCCAAGGTGTGAACATCAATGGCAAGGATCACTTTGACTACACGCCCCTCATTGTTGTATGCATGTTAGGGAGTCTCTTGTTAGGTAAAGACTAACATGATTAGGCCAGTTTGTGTGGACATTATGAACTTGTCCAATTACTATTAGAATCCGGTGAGTTAGTTGATTTATATACCCTTCATGAACAAACCGCTAATACGTTTGCTAGGTGCTCTCGCTGAAAGAAACACCTTCCAAGGAGAACGATGCATTTACAACGCCCTCAACGATCGCATCAGAAATCTGCTTCTCCAATATGATTTCTCAAAGTCTTCAGATCCTTATGTCTACTGGTCGACTCACATTTCAACCCTTCTTGGCCGCACAAGCCCAAAGACGACAGACATTACCCTGGCTTCAGGTTCTCGTTCCTTTGACTTACACAAGTTCATCCTTGTCGCACGATCTCCTTACTTCCGTTCCAAACTTGCTGCTGTTCCGGAAACAACCACTTGGAAGCTTGCTCACACTGTTCCCGTGCAGTCTTTTCTTATTGTGTTGAGATATCTTTACTTGGGTGAAGTACCGCGAGATATTGCGCCTGTAGGTGGTGCAGACTCTGAAGAAGATGTTCTGAAGGGGCTGGGCAAAGTCAGCAAGCAGCTGGAAGTCGAGTCTTTGTGGGAAGCTATTCTTGCAGGCGGAGACAGGAGGCTCGCTCGACAGCGATACCAAGCCGAGGTCGAGCGGGCGAGAGGACAATTCGAGGACTTTTTCAAACAAAATGTCCTGGGCCACAAGATGATAGTTGATACAGACCAGGTAAAGAACGTCAAGTGGAAGTACGACAACTCCATGTTCGCCGATGTTATCCTCCGCGCCGACGAGCCCATCGATATCGAGGATGAGAAGTCAGGTCAAGCAACCCCCACGGAAGACGGCCCTACCATACCCATTGGCCCAGCTGGAGACCAGGAATCTGTCGTCAAGCGCAAGTCCGTCCTCTATCCCGCCCACAAGGCCATGCTCATCCGCAGCGAGTACTTTGAGAAGATGTTCTCTGGCGACTTTGTCGAATCCCAGCGCGATGATCATCTCCGAATTATCACTGTTGACTGCACACCTGCAGTTCTCGAGATCATCCTTGCTTTCCTCTACACCGAATCCGCGGTGTGTCCCCTCGAGCACGCTCTGGATCTGCTATACGCCGCAGATATGCTCTTCCTTGATGGTCTTAAAAGCAAAGCCGCCCAGGCTATCAGCACTCTTGGTAGTGGAAACGCCAATGCACTCGTGGACCGTACACACGGCGAGGCGCAAAGGAATGGCGAAGCTGGGTCGGAAGTTGAGGAAGCCGAGATGGAGCCCATCAACATCTACGACGTTATCCATGCAGCATGGGATCTTCGTGTCCAGCGCCTAGAAGAGTTCGCAGCGCGTTATTTGGCATATCGCCTAGAGGACTACATAGACGAGGAAGATTTCCAGGCACTCATCGCCGAGTCTGCCCAACGTATCACTGTGCGAGAAGAGACGGATACTATCGAACTGCTGGATGATATTCGATACTACCTGGGTGATAGATTCAGACTGCGCTTCGAGGATGTTGGTTTTGAGGATATGATGGACGAGTCGGGAGACATTATCGATGCTGATTTGGCTGCTGCCATGGCACAACAAGCAGATATATCCGCAGATGCGACGAACGGTATTTCAAATCAGAGCCAGAACGGAGTACAGGAGAATGGGGATGGGGAAGCCAAAGACGGAGAGGCTGTACGAACGCTGGACGGAGCTGAAGCAGAGGATGAGTTTGCTTCAGATGCCATCAACTACCAGATCCTACAGCGCAAGATCGATGCCATGCTTGATCGTCTCAAGCTAGATGCATAAACCGTTTCCTATAGATATCACGTTACAAAGACTTACGGCCTTTCGTTTGCAGCAGCATAAATTCAACAGTAGATGAAACACATAGAGGACGAAGAATGCATTATGAAATTACAAAGTGTCGAAATGGTATTTATTGATCTTTTCTTTGTTTAGTGCAAAACACCATCTCCAAGAGTGGAAATATTGATGTACGCAAATCGCTTGACTTCAAGTCTTTATCTTGAGCTTGACGAAGCTAAGGAAGGTACCAAGTATGCTTCTCATCTTCCAAAATGACGTAAAAAAAAGTCATGGCACAGTCTTCGGTTCGGAATACACTCACCTATTGTGCATGCATCGTTCCTCCAATACATCTTGACACTCGCCCTTAGTATTCGACGGTCTTGACCTGCTGCTGCAGCTTAGGTGGCAGCTGTTCCAGTTTAACAAGTCCCATGCGCACGCAGTCGCCCCAGAAGAACATGGTACGGTCTTGGGCATAGCTCAAATAATCGAACTCGTCGGGGCTCAGCAGGTCTTCTTCTTTGATAGACTCATCAAGACCTGGGATCTTGGCTTGGACAAGGCCCCACGCAATCCAATGGGCATGATTGGCGGGGCGCCACTGTCGGGTCTCCTCCAACAACTCTCGCACGCGTTGATCTCTCTGTTCGTCGTTGGCTCGTTCTGCAGCACTCCAACCTCCTGGGGGTACTCGTGCATCAAGCATAAACTCAACGATAGAGCTTGAGCTGCTTGCAGCAGGGTTTCCAGGTGTCGCAAGTGGCGTCGAAATGCCGCTGGAGGCGTTACTATCAGCAGGGGCCAGTCGGGGTGTGGAGTTACTGCCTTGGAACCGGGGACGGTGATCGACGTAAGCCTTGATAAAACGACGCTGTTCATCAGGTGTGGGATATCGTCGCACGTCGCACGCCCAGGGCGCCGCAGCATCGTGGTAATTGTATGTCCACTCGTTGAAGTGATTGGCAAATTCAAGACCACGAGTGTTGGGTCCCGCATATTCAAAGTCAATGACGATGAGCTGCTTATGCTTATTGGCAGCCTGAAGAAGAGGTGACTTTTCGTCATCAGGGCGAATGCGAAGAATGTTTCCATATTGAGTCTGGCAGTATGTTAGTAGAGACCCATAAGAGCAGTGCCGAAATAACTTACATCGCTGTGCGCAAAGACGAGGTTGTCCTTGACCTCTCGTTGACCTCCCTTGTAGAAGCTGTTGAGGTGAACCCGGTACTTCGTCATCATGTTCCTGAATTCAGGCCATGTGGTTCCACACACATAACCTCGCGACTTCCAAGCATGCGCAACAGAGTCCTGTTGACCGTGCTGAGCTCCAGCATGCTTTTCATACTCGTTGTCGAGATAAGTGGCGATGCGTTCCACATTATCCAACCATTGATCCCAGCTTTTCCATGTGGCAGGGCCGCCTTCTCTCTCGTGGGGAAGCAGGTCAATGCCGTCGTGGAGCTCCCGCATTCGCTTGGCAATAGAGCGAGACGTGTCAGGGTCTCGAAGATCCCTCGGGGTGAGTGTGATGGATTCGAAGTACTGCTCGAAGCGGCCATTCTGGAAAGTGCCGAGCAATCTAGGTCCGATTTTCTTGCGTGCCAGCCTTTGCAAAACTGAGAGTTCATTGTCTCGATCAATGAGGTGCTCGACCTGAGGTCCGTAGATACGTAGGAGGACTTTGGAGGGCTTTCGCCTGCCGTCGGCCTCATCGATTTCCTTGGGAGGCGTGACGACGTATACAGCATTGGTCAGGGCACCGCTCAACCTCACAACAGAAATGATGTCACCACCACCCAGGGGAATACGCCTCCATCCCTTGAGCCTCAAGGTGTGGGCGATGCGAATGATTTCGTTCTTGAAACTGAGCCAACCCTCTTTCTCTTTGTCAGCCTTGACATCAGTATCTTTGATGTCCTGATCTTCTGCATCTGCATTGCCACCCGCGTAGCTCATTGTCTTGGTGTTATCAAGCCAAACGTCGCAGCTGGGCACAATTGCATCACCATCGGCGTATTCGGTATCGGAAGAAGGGCCAAGCAGAGAAGATCGAGAAGGAACTTTTCGCTGCTTTGGTCGGGACATCTTAGGGGTCATATGAGGCACCGAATTAAGGCCCATGTGAGCTAGAGACTCTTCCAAAATCCGCTGAAGTCTATCAAAAGAGGTATCACTGGAGTCGGAGTCGACAGAATTAGAGCGGGGCCGCCCATTGTTGCTCTGTTCAGATCCTTGCGCGGATGCGGATGCGGGCTCAGTTTCTCCAATGCTCTTGGACTGATCCTCCTTGTTGGGCGACTTGGACTTGCGACGGCGGCTCGTCTTCTTCGATTTCCTGGCATGTGCTTTGGCACGTTCATGTTCCAACCAATCTCCCACTTGGGCGAGTAATTTCTCACTATAATACTGACGGCGGTGACTGTGATGGTGGTGCGAAGAGGGGTTCGAAGTCGGAGCAGGTTCTTCGGGCGCGCGACTGGTGGAAGGGCCATCGCTTAAGGAGGACCTGGAAGAGCTGTTGGGAAGCTGAGAAGGTGGAGGCTTGCCACTTAGGCGTCGTCGAAGTTTGGTATGGAATTGCTTTGTAGGTTGAGAGTCGTCCTCAAGTGTCTGGATCTCGGGCTCGGATTCTGCAATCTGGACTGCTGTGGTCTGTTAGCTCCGGACTTTACTCTATACTGAGTGTGAAAGGCAAGGGTGAAAGTACTGGGATAGTACTGAGCAGGACCTTGGAAGCAGTAACACGGACACAACCAATGCAATATCACATTCATTGCTCTGCTCTGGATATGCCCATTCCAACTACATGCCGTGCCCAGAATACAATATTCGTATTGCACTGTCACATGCTTGATGCGATTGGATTGCGCCAGCCAAATGACGCTACATTGTACTGAATACAATGTATTCGAGGCGCGATGACTGTTTTCAAACAAAAATTTAAAACTCACCTTTAAGGGGACCGCTTGGAGGAAGCGGGCGTTCAATGTCCTCTTCACTTTTGAGGGCTGAACGTAACGGGGGAGGTTGAGGCTGCTGCTGTTGCTGAGCAGACGAGCCGTTTATCGCGGGGCTCGGCTCAGTAGACATGGTGGGGTTTTTGACTTTTGAGTTGAAGTAAAGTTGTTGCCGATGTATGTTGGCTGCCGTATGGGGTTCTAGGTAGGTGATGTTCCAAGAATATAGTTGAATGAATGAATCGTGGTGAAGAAAGGATCAAGAAGAAGAAGAGAGGGAGAGAGAGGGATTGAGGCGTCTGCATATGCAAGGAAACTAGGAAGCTGCCTGTCAATTGTTCCCCTCCCGACTTGTCGTTCAAAAGAAAAAAAGTGGTCCAAGGGTCACTGGCTCGCTTGTGGCTGACAGTGCAGGCCTAGACAGGGTAAAGGGAGTGCGATTATTAGAACCGGGGACTTTGAGGTGTGGTTGAAATCACTTATTCGTATTGGCTGGTTCGTGAGATGATTCGCCTGATTGAAGTTTAAAATGACACCGATAAAGGGTCCTGTACTGTAGATAAGTATAGAGAAGGAGAAAGATATGAACAGAAACTAGAGAGATAAGGCTAGTAGCCATCTATATAAACGAAAGGACGCCAGTTTCACAAAGGAAGGAGGCCACATGATCTCAATTGTAGAATCAAAGTACTAAAACAGAAGTCCATTGACCAGGTATGGATGGATGGGCACGATTTAGGGCGCTCTCCTTTACCTAAATCAACGTCACAGGTATCGCCATCAACGCCCAGCGTCTACCGTAATGCAATGTAATGTACTGTAGCTGGAGCCAAGAGTCTTTCCACGTCATGTCGTTTACATCAACAACAATTGGTTCTTTCTCTGAAGGTTTACACCCAAACCACTTCACCGAAGAAGAAGAAGAAGAAGAAGAAAAGAAAAAAAACAGGAAGCCAGTCAGGGTTAGTAGACAAAGAAAAAAGCTGTTCAGATGGAGAGAGGTCCCCAGAGTCCAGAGTCCAGACCGAGCCTCTACCAGGGGTGACGTAGTTTCGGTGACGTTATACCCTTTTGAGCGACCTTCGGTAGCGCTTTTGGTAGTGTCTCACATGCTACCTTCAGCGCTGGGGCTCCGCTTCACCGCCAAGACAAGAGCTCCAGGGGTCCTCTAACGATAGATATTGACAAAGAAGGGTCTTTTGCTGTGTTATACACCTATTTTTGTGCATATACTATCATCGTTTTGCTCTCAATTGACCTAAATAGGTTTGTTCCCCTGGTCTCTCGGATCACATCTTGCCGGCCCCGAACACTATTGACCCGCTCTCGGGCGTCAAAGCTCTAGTAGGGCTACTCTCGGCATAGTGTCAAGTGACCATCTCCGAAGAGGCTATTTGCGATGTTACTCTTTCGTCTATGGGAATTTATACAGGCTATACACAACGTTGCCGCTGTACCGTGCTCCATCGATCTGTGTGGGCAACATCGAATTCTCGGACTGCATCAGCTTTCAGAGCATCAAAATAACTCGTGTTTATCATACATGAACTATCTTTCCAAAACAAGACACCATCATTACCGCAAACAAAAGAACGCCATATTCAAAATACAGAATAGCCCTGATTAAACATCCCAAATATACCATACCAGCTTGACTTACTTATTACCTGTTACCAATCGCCAACCCTTCCAGCTGTCTTTGAAGTCGCTCTTCATCCTCTTCGATCTTTAGCAATTGTTGTTTGATCTCCTTTCTTTCCTGCTTCTTTTTCTCCAAGTTGTCCTGTAGCTTTGCCTCCTTTGACACTATTGTAAGCAGTTCTTCCTTCAACCACGTCTTAGTACCTGATGACCAAGGCTTTGCTAGCTGAGCCGTCACAATACTCTTCCAGATGTCGTTCAGTTGACGTGTCTCGGTGTATGGCATCAGGTTACTAAACTTTCCCCAAATTTCGACAACTCCCTGTGCATCGCCCTCTGATATATTGAACCACTCCCCGTGCCTCTTCTTGCACGATGTGGCTGGACAAGATGCGTACTCTTCTTCTATGTGTAGAGTGTAGTGTATCAACTTTTCCATTTTCTTGACTGCACATGGCATGGATACCTCGAATTTGACAAGAGGCTTGTAGCCGCATCTTTCCCATTCTCTCATCCTTCTTGCAACAGGATATTTTGTGTATCCGATTTTGATGTGGTCGCCCTGTATTGTTGGGTCGGTGAAGCCGTATATCCAGCCAGACGCGAAACCCGTTTTACCAGGTGACTTTGCCATGCATTCAAGAATGTCGCGGACGGGTTGTATTTTCCGATGAAAGGTTATAAGTTGACGAGGAGTTGGGCCAGTTGCTGCCTTTTGACTCGATCCAGAATTTTGACCCTGGGTGTCAGAGCTACTCTCATCATCAGAGTCTTCCTCTTTGTCAGAGATGCTCCTACTTAGATTCAACTTTCGCGTCATGTCTTTTGAGAGAATATCAAGATTTGTGAGTTCTGCCCTACGTGTCGGGCTTGCATCTTGTCGCTTTCTATATGAAGTTCTGAAAGAAGACCACCGAGATTCAATCCCCACACTGCTATCAAGTGAGTCGGGCGTCGAGACAGCCGACAACGGAGTAAACAATTCGCTGGGATCCGGAGATGTGACTGATGCTGGTGAAACGATGAATCCATCGTCGCTAGGTGAAGGAGATAATGGTGGCTCGAAATACCCTTCTACTGCTCTTGTACTTCTGGAAACCATGCGTCGATTTCTTGTACGTCGGCTTCTCACTGGCGTCACCAAGAGATCTCGCTCACCATGAGGACTCTCCCTGACTAATTTAGGTCCTTGGAGCTTCTCTCTTTTGGTTGTGTCGAACACGTCTTCATCGCCCGATTCTTCACTGCTTTCATCGTCTGTTTCCTCGCTGTCCTCATATGCATCTTCATCAGAACATCTTACGTTCTTTGAGTTGCTCGCATAACCCTTGGATTTGGCCATGGGTTTTTGGGAAGTTCGAGTTGGCGTATGCTGTCGATTGTTCCATAATTCCTCCGCCTTTCTCTCCAACTGCCAGTTCGCAAACTTCGAGGTCAACAAGAAGTAAACATACTCCAGATTGTCTTTATAGCGCTTTCCGTCAACCTCAAACTTGGCCGCATGCGATATGATGGGTCTGCGGCAGATGAGATTTTGGGTCAACTCAGCAAGAGTCGTCTCGACCGTCTGGGCTGCGTATGGACCTTCGCTACCAAGCTCATAAAGAGCCAAGGTCTGTAGAAGAGTGTTGTTTTTCTTCTTTCGTGTATTTGGCAAGGTACCGATACAGTATTTATCGTCTTGAGCTTGAGCAAAGCAACGTATCGTGTCTCCATCACTAAGACCAATCGCCTTGCGGAGGCTGCTTAAGGCATCAGACGGACTGTCTTTCGGTTTCATTCCAAGTGATGATCGCCAGAAATCAATGAGACTCGAGAAGCTGAGTGGGTAACAGAGAAGTTCCTCTAAGTCTTAGAGTACAAAAATAAACAACCTAAGAAGTCTGGCCTAAATTGCATAAAGTGTCCTATTGGTTTCGTCTCTCGTGCTGATAGCGGCTAATTTTCATTATATTCTAGGCAAGGAGGAGTCAGCCCATTTATAGGTCGAGGGACTCCAGAAGGAGGCGGGAGCTCCTAGATACCCTCCCTCTTCGCGAGGGGGCTAGGCAATCATCTCATTCAGCCAGTGTGATCAAGACATAGTCTACTCACTGCTGCAGACTGGGCTCCTAAAACAAGCTGAGGCTTATCCTTGTCAAGATTATCCCAACCACTTACATGGGTGTTGATCTGGTGAGCCTGCTGCCGTCTCTACGTTAGCCAGTGAGACTTTATAGAGCATACTACTAATTTGCAATTTGAAAACCAGACATATCCTTTATCCTTTGAGTTCATGACATGAGTGAGCATAGTTTCAAACAATTGAATTGATTCTTCCTCGACCTGGGAGCTGAAACGAGGTCGTGATATTGGCTACAAGGTTGCTACATACGAACATGCTAGCGCCAACAACATCTGCAGCAAAAAGCAATTTCATGCCGGTATGTCCGATGGACGAATTCTTAACCACTTTTGTAGATGTAGCAAAAGTTCATAGATCATCAGCTCATTCCTACGCCAGGAAGCAGGGCTGAGACACAGCTCCGTCAGGAAGGTCTACCTATTAGTTCAACGTTGTAGTTGTAGACCTAGATATAGACACAACAGCCAATGACGACAAGGAGGCAACAGCAATCATCTTGCGAGGTAGAACTCTGTTCAGACATGCTTGTTGTCTACAACTTCGCTTCAGTAGCCTCCAACTCACTGGGGTACTTGGCTCCCACTTCCAGATCGCCATTATGCACACCATCCTCCAACGGCGGCAGCTTAACGTAACCCTTGGTATGCGATAGAGCAGACAAGACCCACTCCCTATCAGCCTTTATTCCCTCGTTGTTGAGCGCCCAGACCAGGGCATCTACCACATCGTCTACAATGACGGCTGGCTTGTACCGGGGCTCCTTCTCCGTCGAGGTCTGTCTCCAGACGCCTGTTCGCACCAGGATGGGAACCCACTCAGTTCCGTCCTCTGCCTCAAACTCGCTAGCTCCCCGGATATCGCTTTCCGGGTTGTCGCCAATCATGTAGACACGGCGGAGCGGATGGCACTTGGACGTATCATGCCCAGGGCTTTGACCGCGGTTGCACGCCATGTCGTGGTAGTATTGCAATAGTCTTTCGTGAGCATACTTGTAGGTATGGTTGGAAGGTTTGCCAAGAGCGCTGTACTGAAGTTCCTTTCCGTTGGTCGTCGTGGACCATATCCCCCTCAGGGCTTCCATGAAAGCGCCTGTACCGAATCGATTCACGGGGTAGTTTGTCTTCCACAACAGATCAAGGTTGGATATCCACAACCCAGGCTGTCCGTCTTGCTGCCATCCATTGTTGGGTAGCTTCTCGTTGCCGTTCAAGTTCGAAACAGTGCCAAGGTAGCCTTGATGAGAGATCAACAGGTCGTGGATAAGTTGGATATCAAGAGACCAATCTCTTGGGTCGTTCCAGATAAATATATGGTCAATCTTTAGGGCATTTGCGGGGATGTTCGTGGAATAGGGATCTTTGAGCAAAGGGATTCGCTTGCCATCAGGAAGAGGCACAGGTTTGCCATTGATCTCACCCTCGATGCGCTCAAAGGGGAACACATCACCACACTCAGCAAGAATGTCTGCTGGGGTGACGACGCGCTTGAAGCCATAACTATTGCGACTGGTTAGTGCAGATACAAAAGTCATAGTGGTGTAGTCCTTACTCAAGAGCAATCTGCCGGGCTTTCTCAGGATGAGAACCTGTGATCAGAATCGTGCCATCGTTCTTTATATCCTCACTCCAACCACTCATTGGCGTGTGCGAAAGAATCATTCTTCCCTTTATGGCGTCCTCATGCTTAGGAATCTGAAGTCGCTCCTGCAAACTTTCCTCTTTCTTGCTCTCGGGAACGCAGCCACCGTTTGTTAAGAATACATATCTAATACCATTGCTTCTGAGCATTTTGATAACCTTATCAGCTCCGTCCACCCTGTTACGGCCCTGATACAAGACGCCATCAATACTGCGAAAGGTTAGTAATGTGTCATTTGAATACCGGTATAGGCTGTACTTGGTGAAGGAACTATATATGAAGGTCCATTGACGTACTCAAATGCAAAAGCGAATTCGGAGAATATCTTGCGTGCCAGATCGGTGGGCTCTTCGAAGTTGTTCGGGTTGACGCCCAATGATCCCTTAGGTTTCGATAGAGCGGTACGAGAGGTATGAAATGTCCTTTGCGACAGACATGAAGCCCTCAGGGCCGTCGCTGTTACCGGCGCGACATACCGAGGCAGCGTCAACCGACGTGCAGCGAATCGGCATTGGCCGACGACACCGAAACGTTGCATGTTCAAGTACCGAGTGCCAGGGAGAAGAATCAAGTCTGCATGTATAGGAAATTTGTATTTGATTGTATTACAAAACAAAACAAAACAAAGAGCTTGGAAGGGGCTGTCTCTTCCAAGTTAGTTGTAAGTTATCAGATTGTTAGAGTCATGGTTGATAAGAGCGCTCATCGGCAAGACCCGCCCACATTAATCTAGCAACATGAGCCGAGCATTGATCACCTTGAACTAGCAACAACTCGGAAAATCACTGCTATTATTGGATTATGAAACAATCTCATGAGTGTTACATATTTACTATGTTTTGGAGCATCTATATTTACAATTGATTGAGTGGTTAATACATCACAGTATACGTCTATGAGTCAATGATTTTGATGGTACAATATCTTTACAAAACCCGCAATATCTTGTCATCGTACAATCCACGCCAGTTTTTCATGACAACTAGATGGTCAACACTTTATTTCTTGTCATTCCAGTCCTTGATGTGGTCAAGAATAAGGGCAGCAGCTTGCTGAGGCGAGTGTTGTCTGCCCAAAGCCTCCACAAAGTCACCATCCGGATCCATAAGATAAAAGTAGATGCTGTGGTCCACCAGGTAATCTTGCCCAGGCTTAACGTTCTGCGGTGTGCTGAAGTAGACGCGGTACTTCTTGCAGAGGTCCTTGATTTGGTCGTAGGTACCGGTAAGGCCGACGAACTTGTCGTGGAATTCGCTGAGGTATTCCTTAAGAGCCTTGGGGGTATCGCGGGCAGGATCGCATGTGATGAAGATGGGGAGGAGTGCGTCGGGGGCCTTTTGTTCGACAATATCCAACATGGTTGCCATCTTGTCAAGCTCCTCGGGGCAGATATCGGGGCATCGAGTGAAGCCGAAGTAGACCTAACAAATGTCAGATATCAATGTCATACATGGGCTGAGCTGTATTTCCCGCTTCTTTAACATACCAGAGAGTGTTTGCCCTTCATCATCTCGCTCGTAAAAGGCTTTCCATCCTGGTCTACCAACTCAAAGGTTCCTCCAACCTTTGGTCGTCCAACACCCTTGGCAGCCTCAGCTATTCTCTTGCGCTGCATGCGCTCCTTCTCAAATTCGAAGTACCACACCAACAGGCCGCAAGTGCCGACAAAAAGAATTCCGGCCTTCCAAGAAAATGGCTGTTGCGCATTTGTCAGCTTTTTGCTTGCTCATATTGGATCGCATTTCTCTTGGAATTTTCCAATTCGTACCCCATTGCTGTATCGGCTCTTAGCCTGCTCGATCGTCTTGTACTTCGTTCGGCGCTGAGTAATGGGTTGTCTCGACTGAATTGGCGCTCGTGGGAGGGTCGGCCGGAGCTGCTTAGGCTGAAGAGCGCTGCTAGAGAAACATCGTTGACATTGCCGTGTCGAGAGAGATGAAAACACACCCCTAAGGGCTTTTGACGTCGCGACCGAGTTCGACATGGTGATTTACCTCAATGGATAAGTCGAGTGAAGCTCATGTAAAAGCTATCAACTACGTAAACTTACATCTTTCGATTATCATAAGCTTCAAAAATACGTGGGTCCGGGCTTTTACCGTGGTGGCTTGTGCTGGTGCTTAGTCATTCGTCTCAGCCATGTAGTTCTCCCATCATAACCTCCTTCAGTGGCTGCAACTTACACCGAAGTTGGACTTGTTGTTTTAACGAGTAAACTTGACAAACTGTTCTTTAACTATAGGAAACCCGTTTCAACAATTACTTCTCAGCTCTATGATATTATCATACATATGTCAAGTGACTTGTTCATTCGCTAAAAGCCTGTGATTGCATCCTAAGTTGGCAATTATACATACGCGCCAACGGTCTACAATGGAACAGTCATCAAACTTAGGACAAAGCGAAAATTCTCGCTCAGAAACTTTTGGTAATGACGCAAAAAACGATGCCGTGGCACAAACCCCATCAGACGCTCAAAATCTCTCCTCCAAATCTCCTCTGCATCCTCCAACCTCTACCGAACAACCAAACAACATGGGCGCCCAAACAGCAGCAAAGAAAAAGGGCACTGCTTCGGCCATTAAGAAGTCCGGTAAGCGCTCTAATACTACTGGCGGGCCAAGAGCGGCAAAGAAAGCCAAATCTGTGCAGTCTGGTTCAACTTCAGGAGAGGCCCCTGAATCAGCAGGATCCGAATTGGAAGAGTCTGACCACGGACCGTATTGCATTTGCCGTGGTGCAGACGATCACCGATGGATGATATTTTGCGAAAACTGCGAAGATTGGTACCATGGAGAATGTATCGACTTGAACAAAGAGATTGGCGAGTCGCTGATTGAGAGGTTCATCTGCCCACTCTGCACAACTGATGACCGCAAAACCATATACAAAAAGACCTGCTCACTGGGCGGTTGTCGAAAACCTGCCCGCTTGACCGATGAGGAGCCAAGCGCCTTCTGCACCAACGAACATGCGCAAACATGGTGGGAGCGCATGGTAGCCAAACTGCCTAAGGGGAAGGGAAAGGGGGGTAACAACGACCAGCTTACTCAGGAGGAGTTTATGGCACTTTTGGAGAGCGGCCTTTCAGGTTTCGACGAGGAGGGCCTTTGGCGATTGGTCAAGCAACCATTCTCGGGCGAAGCAAAGGCCGTCAACGGAAGTGGACATGGTAAGTTATTACTATTTAATGTGCACTGTACAAATGATTAACAGATATCGCAGGGGGAGGAAACAACGACGAGTTGCATCTCTCTGAAGAGGAGAAGGAGTATCTTAAAAACGCCGCTGCAGCGCGGTTTCAGCTGGCTGAAGAGACTGTTCTATGCCACAAGATGCTGACTCTCCTCGAGTACGCTCACGAGCGTCGCCAGGCAGCCATCAATGCAGGCCGATTCAAAGAAGATATTTGTGGCTATGATCAACGTCTCGATACTGTCAGTGCACGAGACCCGTTCGACGCTTTCGCCAAGTCAACAGAGGGAGAGGCTATCTTCAAAGCAGCTCGGCTTGACGACCCCTTAGGAGAAGGTGACGAAGTGCGGGGCATGTGCGATCGCAAACGCTGCAAGATTCATGGCGGATGGTATAAGATGCTCTCGTCGGGTCTCAAGCATCATATTCGTGAGATGGCGACACAAGCTGACGAGGTTGGAGAGGAGGAGAGAGTAATGCGCCAGGCTGCAAAGGAACGCTGGAACAGAAAACAATCGGAGAACAACTGGGTTGAGGTGTTGGAGATTTGAGATTTGCATTCAGGCGTTGCTGGCGCATGCGAAATACCTCTCTGCTGTTCTACGTACATCGATTCCTGAATCGTTGCTGCAGATAGCCCTGCAACAAGCTTTTTAGATTCTACTACGTGCAGGAGTCATGATAACTTACTTCTTGTTGTTAGGTAGAACCAGTCCCTCCATTTGTGGGACGTACTCAATAATGTATAATTAATAACAAGTTCCTTGATACACATTGGATTGTGTGTGTTTCAATATATATTTTGTGATATTGATTCCAAGAGGTAGGTATTTAAAGAATCTTTGTAGCAGCTGCAATAGTGGCGTATGGATTATACTTCAACCAAGATCAATACATACTGCTTGCTAGTCATGGAGGGGTATTCTGATTCTAATTTATCTTTTAGAACAAATGCACCTACATTTCAACTCTTCAAAAATTTCTCTTATTCTGTAGTAGTATTTATTTGTTTGAATGATCAAACCTCAACTGTCTAATAAAAGTTAACCCGCAACCTATATGTACAATTCTGTCATGATCCATTTTGAGTAAAAAGCTGGGCTGCAACGACCGCCGCCACCCCGCAGTCAGGAAAAAAAATCCTCGTCCCGTCAACCAAAAAAGTCGAGAAAAAAAACATTTGCCTGCTTATCAAGCAAGCTTCGACTGACAAACTCGAGAACACACTTTCCGTTTAGCGTTTCTAGACACTCAATCCCCTTTTCCTCTTCAATACTTATTACATCTCCAAAAGTTTTCCCCTCCTTCAAACAACACAACGTATTGAAGCTTGTTAATAAAATTACCCCGCCATCATGTCGTCCTCTAACCCCCGCGATCAAAAAGAGCCTGTCGACGAAGAACTCGAAGAAGACATGCTCGCTGCCGATGATGCCGCCGAGGAAATCGCCGCCGATGAGGACATTGCTATGGATTCCGACAACGAGGAGATCCTGCTCCAAAACGACTCTATCGGTTACTTTGACGAACCCAAGGACTCTCTCTTCACCATCGCTCAACATCCCCAGCACCCCTCCATCATTGCTGTTGGTGGTTCAGCCGGCCAAGAGGATGAAGCTCCTGGTGCAGGATGGGTCTTCAACACCGCTTCCGTCCAGTCGCGACCTCCGCTACCTGCTAGTTACTCGAGCGATCCCGCCGCAGACGCCCTTAAGAGCACCCAAGTCAACTCTCTATTCAGCCTCGATGGCCACACGGACTCCGTGAACACACTCACCTGGACTCTTCCCCGAGGAGATGTCCTCGTCAGCGGTGGACTTGATGGAAGGCTGCGCGCTTGGAAGGCGACCATTTCAAACGATGCGCTCAAGATGGATTTCCTTGGTGAGGCGCAGGAAGTTCCCGAGGTGAACTGGCTTGTGCCTTGCCCTTCTGCCACAAACCCCAACACTGTTGCATTGGGTGCTTCTGATGGCTCCGTCTGGGTCTACACAGTTGACCCTACAGATCAGGCCAACCCTCTCCAGATCGTTCAATCCTACTTCCTTCACACTGGAAGCTGTACTGCTGGTGCTTGGACACCTGACGGTCTTCTTCTGGCCACTATTTCTGAGGATGGTAGCTTGTACGTCTGGGATGTCTGGGGTGAGGCCACGGCCAAGAACCTTGTTGGCGACAATGGTATGACTGCTGTAGCTTTGACCGCCGAGGATCAGCGTTTCGCGGTTGAGGGCGGTCTTTACTCTCTTGCCATTGACCCCAAGGGCGCTTTTATCGCCGTTGGAGGTGCCACTGGTGCCATCAAGATTGTGTCTCTTCCACGACTTGCCCCTAGTGGACCCCAGCCTCAGGCTCGCGCTGGCCCTAAAGGCAAGGCTGCTCAGTCAAGTGCCACCCCTGGTGGCCAGATTCTCGCCGCCCTACACACACAATCCGAGAGCATTGAGTCCCTTGCCCTCGTCTCAACTCCCAACACACCACCAACCACCCTCCTCGCAGCTGGCTCTGTAGACGGCTCCATCGTTGTTTACGACGCCACCCGCCGCTTCGCTGTCCGAAGACACATCTCTGGCGCTCACGAGGAGCACGCCATTGTCAAACTTGAGTTCATCCCCAACTCATGGCAACTCACCAGCTGCGGCATGGACGGTGCCGTGCGTCGCTGGGATCTCCGAGGTGCTGGTGCCACAAACCCCAACGCCACTGCCACAGCTGCCGAGGCCGGTCTGCAGAAGGAGTGGAAGGGCCATCGTGGTGATGGTGAGGGCGGTGGTGTCCTCGGCTTTGCCCAGGGTCAGACAGGAGAGAGGATTGTCACAGCTGGTGACGATGGTGTCGCCTTGATTTTTGAGGCTTAAGTGTTTGGTAAAATCAACGGTTCTGGGAAATGGTATATAGAAGAGGAAAAGCGCTATGTGGAAGTCATGTTCCGCAATTTTATGATTACGAAATGAATAGATTCAAAGGGATGATACCCTAGATATTGGCCACAATCATTTTCATGAGCAGTCCGTGATCAAATTGCAGGTTATTTTTGAAATGCTTAAATGACTCGATGGGTTTAAAGTAATTGGCAAGCGGAACAAATGTTCTATAAGGAAAGTATCGAAAGTTGTCTTTATCAGACTATGTCGCTTTTGAGAATGACATATTGAGTGGACGTTATCGTTATCGATAAGAGCTAAGAAGAGTGGGTTCATAGTATGCCGCATCTGATTGGCTTGCGCTTAATTGAACATGAACCGCGCTTGTTCAAAATTCTTTGGCCCATGACAGCAAATCGTGATAGCATCATACCTCAGTCCACAAGCTTCTTACGACTCTTACCCCTCCACCCAACCCTTTCTTCTCTAATTAAATACACAAAATGTTCGGAGGATGTACGTACAGTCCCAATTTTGATATTGAACAGTGAACTGACCCTCAACAGTCGCCCCCCCTCAGCAATCACAGGAGGAGATCCGCGCCCTCGAGGCCGATGCCGCCTTCACTGTCCAGGGTGCTATCACCACCGCTGTTCTTCTGTACCTCTGTATGCCTAATCGAATCTTTTTTTTCTTGCGTAAAGTGGTGCTAACTATATTCCAGCCCCCTTCGCTATCGACCTTGTCGGCAAGATCTTCTAGACTACAATCATCCCGTGTGTAAACGCAGAGCTATTTGTGCGAAGATAATGGTATTATGATCCTTGCGGACGATGGTGTTGCCATCACGCCATGTACGATAAAACCGGTTTAGATGGAACGGACGGAATACTTATGATTAATCTGTACCAATATATTTTCCAAGACGCGGGAAAAGCCGCGCAACAACATCACTCTCGGTGATAACACATGCCTTGGCATCTTCGTTGCTATCTTCTGTTTCAAAAAACCGTTGTTGTGGTATCACTTGCTGTATCAATATTGTGCTCAGACTTTACGAAGATTAATGTTTCACATCCTGTGACGCCTAGGATGAATACCCAATCCTGACTCCAACTCTATGCCACCAATATAGATCCTATCTCAGACACTTGTCTGCCCTTGATCCTTACTGTCTTTACCGCTAAACAATTTACCCTGTTTAAGCCCATCTATTTTGAGTGTGGGTTTCTGGTCTTCTCCCAGTCTGCATAGTCAGTTCCTAGAGCCTCAAGCTCCTTCTTGATGTGCTGAATCTGCTTCTCATAATCCTCAAGTACCTAAATAAGGAGTCAGTAACGTATCGCCGATATATTGTGGCTTGACTTACCCGCTTCGCCTTGGCTTCTCGCTCTGGATCAATAGTCTCCTCCTCCAGGCCACTTGGCTTATCCATCTCCTTGCTAAGTTGATCAGCGTACCCTCGCAGGACGATAAGGCGGCTCCAAAGCTCCTCTTCCCTTGCGCCTACAGCAGGATCCTGGACCTCCCGCTCCAGGTTCTGTAATCGACTGCTGAGGTCATCCTCGTCGCCGCTGAGAGCGTAGCCACGGTTTCGGAGAACTTGCACTCGCGCAGCAAGCGCCAAGCATCGTTCACTAATAGTTGTTTGCCGTCTACGGGCCGCAACAGCTCGGACCTCGGTCTCCAGCTCGTGACGTTGAAGAACAGCATCCAAGCTGCCGTTAATCTGATGCAAGCGGGTGTTAAAATCGGAAACAGCGCGCTTCTGTGTTTTAAGGCGGTCGGCAACACCAGCGTATCCGGAGCACAGTACAGGCATAAAACCAGGGGCTGGCTTGTTCTGCAGAGCTTCCTCCCATTCCCGTGGGTCCTCATGAGGCTGGGGCTTGTAGTAAGGAACGTGGCTCTCGTCGACCTTATTGTAGAAGTAGTATTTGAAGACGCAGTTAGGGTTCGCGGGATCCCATTTTTCAGTGACGAGCTTCATTTGCTCGAGAATCGGCTTCTGGTCTGAGTATGTGTCAGTACTACGGCGTAGACGAGTGCGTTTTCGTCAAAGAACATACGAGGTGTCTCCTCTCCAGGCTGCCATAGAGAATTGGAAAGCTGAGCTTTAGACTGAGATAAAGCCGGCATCTGTTGTGGTTGTGGTTGTTGGATCGATGCGCCGAATGCGCCTCCTTGTTGCTGTTGTTGCGACTGGCCAAAGCTAAATCCTGTGTTTTGAGCTGGAGCAGCGGCCTGAGCAGGCTGAGATTGCCCAAATAGCGAAGGCTTTGCCTGTCCGAAGAGCGACATGATTGCGATAGTGTGAAGATTTGACTTGATAGTTGTCGGTCGGAGAGCTCAGCCTGAGCTTTAGCTAATAATATGCGTTACTGGGACAAGACCCAGGTCGAGAGGAGAAATTATCAGCTCGATACGGTGTAATACTGTTTAACGCGATAGGCGGAAAGTCGTAGTAGGGCTTTTTCAGGATCGCAAGGCTGAAAAATCTATGTTGCTTGATGGTTTGCACTGTTTATTTGGCGGCTCAAAATATTTGGAGCTGGGCGACGCGAAAACAGAGCTACGTTCACTGGGGCCCCATCGCAGCCTTGTTACTCAGCCTTGTCCCACTTTCTAACCAATCACAGAAAGTCAATTCCTACCTTACGCTACCAAATCCTAGCCGAGCGACCTCACATAACCACTCCCGGATTCTGGAATCACCGCAACGTTCGACGATCAGCTTCGCAGAACATCGGCATCATGTCTACCCGAAGGCCCCAGTATGTTTTTATTGAGGTGTACCTCTTGTCTTTGCTCGGGAACCGCCAGCGGGTGCAATTGGGTACTACAACACCTGATAATTGGCTAACCGATTGATCCATCAGATTCTCTCAGCAGGTGCTTATCGACACCACTCCGTTGCCCTCGGACATTCCCGCTGTCAAGGAGGTCGGTGCCAGTTCTGCGCCTCTTCTTTCAGCCTCTTTCTTCATCGGCGCTCGATGCCGCGACTACAGCGATGATTACATGCAATGCAAGAACGACAACCCCGGCCGAGGAGAGTTTGAGTGCTTGAAGGAAGGTCGACGAGTCACTAGATGTGCCTCCAGCGTGTATGTGTTCTGAAAGCCAGCCAAACACTCATTCTGGCGATATAATTGGGGCGCGACAAGCTCCATTGCTGGGACCAGCAGCTGACAACGAACAAACAGCATCAAGGACATCAACACCCACTGTCTGGCCGAGTTCCGCAAGCACTGGGAATGCCTTGAAGACCGAAACCACCAGCTATGGCAGTGCCGCCCTGCTGAGTGGAAGCTCAACAAGTGCGTTTACGATAACTTGGTACGATACTTGTGTTCCTACGTTTTGGGCAGGATTCCTGACATAATGCGCAGAAACTTGAGAAGAAGATTCCTGACCAGCCCACCAACTCGACTCCCGTTCACCTCCGACCAAAGCAGATCTTTGCCGACGTGCGCATCGGCCCTGGTGATGGTAAGCCCTTTGTTCCGGGGCAGGAGGATGCGCAGCAATAGAATGCTGGAATCAGTTAAAGTTAGGTCGAGGCTCGATCATGTATATTTGCCGATAAATCAAAGAGTGGATTACCAGCTATCAAAGCAAAAATTCGTCCATTTTTCTTATACAAAACCATATCACAATATCTTCCCCGCATGAGCTACCATGCTCAGTGTCATTGAAGCTGGGCAATATATTGGCTCATAGGGCCGTCGTTCACATTAATTAGTACCACCAAGCTGTACGGTTGCTAATCAGTCTTGTTTCTGCGATTCATTACTACGACATACCTACCTAGGCTACTCATGGTCCATCTCTATAGTAGTTGTTTCTAACCTAATAGTATTCATGTTGACTGGCATGATAGCACAACGTTACCTGTCACGATAGTACGGACCTCAAATGCAATAACATGTGAGCCGCAGAGCGATATTGCAGTGAGCCTTGGACGCCCAATGCACGGCACTTCAAGATACTCGAGAGAATTTCATAACACTGCTTTTCGGCTAAGATGTGAAGCCGTGGTTGGCTTATCTTTGTTGTATGTGTGGTGTAGGCCAGCTGACGAGATTCAGCGTTGCAGAAGAGCAGGTCATCATTGTTCGAGTTCAGTGCCGGTGAACAATGATGGCGCTCAGTACACCATTGCTTCAATTATGTTTGCCTGCACAAACCGGTGACAAGAGCCAGTAGTAAGTATGAAATTTGACAAACACGCCCCATCAAGTCCCAAGAGCCGCATCTTTCGGTCTAGAGCAGGGATATCTTGTTAATGACTAGTCCCGGAAGTCGCACACCTTCGCCCACAACAGCGAGGCACCCAGACCATGCACATGACCATGGGTGGCATTCATGCACCTTGTCCCATTTGCCGAGGCTTTTGTTTCGGCCTCACTTGGGTCTGTTGAGGCATGGTAACTCTTTTCATGCAATTGCCCGTCTCGTTTCAAGTGAATGCCGACCGACAGCGGGAACGATTGGTCTGGTCTGCAGGGTTGGTGGTATGAGCTGGAAACAGAGTATGGTGATTTGATGCATGCAACAGGCAACGGAAACCTGCCTTGCATACTGGCGAAGAGTTCGCCTATTAGACGATTGGTGGTCTGAATGCGAACCTCAAGAACGAACCAAGCACAGCCACAAAGCAGGGATCTTAATTTTATTTGCCAAGTAGTATTCTTTCCAGTCTAATTTGCAACATTGAATCAAACCTCGATGTAAAAAAGAATCATTGTTTCTCGGCGCTTATGCGCTTAGTGAAACAAAGAAACGGGCCTTCCAAGCGCCCATGTTTGATGCTCTGGATGGGGCACACCGTTGGTTGGCTGTTGACATTTATACCGCTACATGAGCGTTTACCAAGGGTCAAAAAGAAATCTATAGGGATTGATATTGTCTTGTTTTGGTATCGCTTCAGAATGCTACACGAGGTTGCAAGTTTGCTTCGAGAAGAGATAAATGCTGTATCACATTGTGTTCGCAAGTCGCCCGAGTGATGGATCTGTTTTGTTTTCTAGCGACGTATGACAATGTCCAAGGAAACTTGTTTCCATTTTTTATTATATACTTAGTTCTGGATTATTCAAACTTCTCTCTTCGTATCACTAAAGGACTTGTCTGTGTCGTTACTTCACATATCTGTTCCATTACACTCCGGGGCTGAGCTTCGATGATGATTTATGGCTCATCAAATTCCCGGAAATATGTAAGTAATCCTCTTGCATTCAAGTTTACTAATGGAGTTAATTTATTATCTTCATGACTCTTTAAGTTTTGCATTAAACACCACTGATGTATGTGATAATATAAAACATTTTGGGTTGATTAGTATTCAGCTAGGTACAGGGTAAACTGCAAGGAAAGGGTCTATCCGACGATTTAGGTATAACTCAATCGGATTTGGATACAAGACATGCAGAGTACCCAGGATAAACTCCACGTAAAACAAACAAGCTTTGATACACGTACAAACATTGTTGATTCGATCGTGGTCGTGAGAACCGGCGAGTCAACTTGGTCGAATTTAAGCGCCGTACCATCGATGGGAATAACAACCGCATTGACGTTATGTGAAACAGTGGGGATAATATACCTGAACCTGACATGCAAGCTACTATTGGAAGGATCAAGGAGAGCGGTTAAAGCAAGCCCTGCGAGAGGGAATTGTCGGTCATAAAAATAAGTATTGTTTTTGTGGTGCTGCAGCTGTTAGTTGAATCAGTAATAGGATGTCATGCTAGGAAGACTTGAGCATATTGGTGCGTGCTATTATCGAATGTATTTTGCATGTGATAAAAATCGATCAGCAAAAGAAGACAGTTGAATGCCAAAAACTAGGTATGCTATGTATAGAACCCTCAGCCCGTTCAGCTAGTCTGGGCTCTTGTTCAAAATGCTTGATCAGATCAAAGTTTGATCATGGCCATAGTAGTGCTCGAAATGAAGGCCTCAAGAATCATATCTTGAGCGTTGGTGTTAGTGTTAGTGTTAGGATCGGCATTCCCGAGCCACCGTAATATCTCTCCACAAACTTGAACCCAGATAGACGAGTTCGGTGTAGCCGATGACAAGACTAGTCCTCGAGCCTTTAGGCGATCACTTTGTAGAATACTTGCCGCGTAATACTGGGGTTCTGAAAGAGCCGCTTATGGGCTAAAATGTATGGTTCTGGACTAGGAAATAAGAATAAAGTTGCTCAACTCGGGATGCAGGAATGAAATCAGACGCCACAATCTGAATGCTATTCTCTAATAGGAATTCATGCTTCTTTAACGTTGTTTGCCAAGGTTATCCAGAAGATATGGATTGTGTGTCATGTCGCTTAATTTCGGAGTTGAGGTGAGTTGAGGTCGCAGTTGTGATCGACTCGATGACTTCAAGACAATTGCATTGATGGCTAGGTCAACGTGTCCAAGGGAGAAGAGGAGGGGGTGTGAGAAGTCGAATCATCATGAATGGTTTATTACTGAACTACTACAGTCGATCAAGAGTTTGTAATTTACCTCGATATGGACGGGTTTTGATGATCATGTGTTGATTGATTCATTGTTTTCCACATGTGTGGACAGCCATTGACTGATTGACCAGGACTGTATATCAGACTGCCATGCCAAGACAGAGTGAGCGAGGTTCAGCTTAGTTCCAAGCTCCTGGGTTCACGACGACCACCTACCCTGAGGCAGCCCGTCGTCCTGTCCGAGGCTGTGTGCAAAAGCCAATCAGTCTGTGACACGCCAATGTCCGACTGTGGAACTCGACAGGACACAAAGGTTAGGAAATGAGCCGAGTGACTTTGCCCGCGGCTATAATTCCGTTGACAGAAGCGATCTTAGGCTGGCTACGGGAAGGCTGTATGGTATGTCTATGTTGTGAGAAATCACGGCTCGCGAATTGGAAATGAGCGCAAATGCGTAGTAACATCCGATTGCCAGGATAGCTCGGCATATTCCAGATAGAAAAGCAGGCGACGAACAGACCTCAATCTTAGAGAGAGAAAAAGCCTTGGTTGGGAGATGACGAAAGGAGCAGGAGAAGAGCATCGTTCAAATTAGGTCGGTTTCAGACTTCAAGGCTGGCTCCAGCGGGTCTTCCTTTGGACAAGGGAACTGAGACTCCACAATAACCCGCTTCAAAATCCCTGGCAAATAGCTTGTTTGATGGGGACATATCTTATGATGGAAACATGATTGGGTTAAATCTCTCAGAGACGCGTGAATCGTCGGAGCAGTATGGAAGGGTAAAAAGGGGGTGGAAGATCATATACGTACCTGCCTAGGAAGTGTCACTGAAGCCGACGGGATTGTTGGATCCGACTTGGCTGAGGATAGTCTGAAGTGATCTAGTAAAGAACAAATCAATGCGTTAGATGCACGAGTATGAGATATATATTAGGAATGCGTTTCGTATTTGTTGATGCTGACTAATAGACAACAGGCCTCAGCCCAGTACAGCAGCTTGACCACAATCAACACCGTGCGCAATCCGGCATAATACGAGACCTTCATCTTAATACCTCGATTTTTGGAGTTGAGTTGATCCGGCAGATGGGATGGCATCTCATCCTGCTACCAAAGTAGCGGTGCGTACATAATGCAACGCTGCATCCGGAAGTCAAATCGTGAGCATCGACGCCTCTGATAAGTGCATTTGATTAATAAACTACGGATTAAGAAAGATGTTCAATTAAACGTCGACTAGTGAACTCCAGAGAGGCTTGAAGACTTGGCTTTTAACTTTCGGGTGGCTTTCAGGACCACGTAATCAACAAGCAAAAAAAAACAAAAAAAAAACAAAGCCACTACTCCAGCATGATCACTAACAAACCCATTAGATCATCATGAGTGGCAAGCATGGACAAGAGGAAATGATGAGCGGGGGTTAAGCTGTATCGAAATTCAAAACAAAGCCTCGGCATCGATCGAGGAAGAGTCTAGACTGTTGAACCCGACAAGGTTTGACGTTAGAAATAAAGTAAATCGTCTTGACTGGGCCGTCGGGCTCTGAGATGATGAGACTAACTGGAGCTTTTGTTGGCGTTGGCGTTCACAAATTCTGCGTCAGACAGACTGAGCTGGTGCCCTGTTAACCTGGCCAAGGTCTAGGTCTAGGTAGTATTCTCATCCCGCTTTGGTTTGAGCATGACCGGGGTCTTGTCGTGTCATTACCCAGGGTCGCGTGTTTGATTAGCCGTCAGACGCCAGCGCAACAGATCAGTCCAAGCTGTATCCAACGATAATGCAATGCAATATATTGAGATATGCTATGTGAGTTTGTGTCGACTAGCGAAAATACCATTCGTGCATTGCAATGGTATGTGCGGAGTATACATGTGATGATCGTCGTGGTCTTGAAACCGATATGCGATGTTTCTACCGAACCTCCGTGATGCGACCATGATGCAATTGGTGACCCGGCAGTTGTCATCGTAGTTGAAGTGGTGATGTACAATGAATATCTTTCATCAGAGGCGTCAGATGGAGGTGAACAGCGGCAAAAGGGGAACGTCGACAAGCAACACGCAACAAGCAAGCCACGAGTTTCATCATGATTGTGCAGGGCCCGTGCATCTGCCGGATGCCGAGTAGAAGAGTACAGTATAACAAGTCAAGTATCTATAATTGAATTCCATAGAGAACAAAATTACTACATAGTTCTGGAGCATTCATTAAATGCCAATGACAACGATGGGTATCTAGTAATTGGTTCCTCAATATCTCAGCTCATAGTTGAGGACTCCAATATTGAATAAATGAATCAACAGACCTGTCCAGTCAGCGTCCGATTTATGGGTTAGTGCATGATTCGTTCCTGGTGCCTTGCAGCGGACATCCACCAGGTTTCTAGCGCCCAGGCTATCCCGCACTAGCGTGAGGCACTAGCGCCGGTCTTGTACACGGCTCCATGTTCCAGGGGTTACTCTAACAACAACACCTCGAGCAGTGCCAGCCAGTGCTTGCCAGCTGCCATAGACTTTGGTTCCTTGGAAGTCAAGCTCAGTAACCAAAACGACCTGGGGTCCGGGCAGCTCAGCGCTTCACAGCAGACATGTTAGTAGGGCAGGTGGTCGAATAGTCCAAACATTAGTAGCTTCATTTCTTCCTTGGGTCCGCCCTTCACTTTCCCTCAAAACACAACCCATCCTTCTCCGCTCTTTTTCGCGTCTAGACCCTTCAACCATTCACTCTCTACTCATTCATTCCTTTGCACTAACAGCTCTCCACCGCCGTCGTTCTTTACTCTGATAGAGCTCTACTCTGCTAGGTACGTCGCTTCTCGGCCAACACCCCTGCTCCTCTCATCTGCAACACCCCCCAGCTAATTCTCGATTACAGGCTCGCCAGATCCCCAGATACCCCCTGCAAAGCATCCAATCAATACCGCACCATTCAGCCAATCCGCCCCCTGGCCCAACAGTGCCTGTCCGTCTGCGACCCGCCGAGCAGTTCCTTTTTAACGTCGTCGTCCGCTCCGAAGCCATCTCGACCTCTTCTCTTTCCTCTCACCCCCTCCAAGAGTCTTCGTCGAACGATAGCAGGGCCTGCCACTCCTTTGTTTGCGTGTCTAGTACATAGCAGTCCACTCCTTCAAAACCAAAACTCTAAAGCCAAGACTTCCGGTTGAACCGTTGATATATCTCACGACTTCCCTCAAAATCTCATCTCCATCTGATCTGATTTACTTACCTACCGCAACATCAATTCAAGTCGTCCTTCCTTCGGTTCATCCTTCTGTCACTCCTTTCGTCGTTGAACGACCACCATTGTTCAACCACACCAAACCAAAGCTTTTTCTCGAGACTCCTTGACGGAATCTCAAATCCAACAGTGCTGTCATCCGCTCATCAGACTGGTTCTGAATCACATCCGATACCAACAGACAACACACTAAAGGTAAGCATATTCTGAATCATCATTGTCTGAACCTTGCACACTTGTGTACCTGCGTCAGCCTGCCTTGTCCTCTTTGTCTTGCCTTGTTCTACACCTACGTCAGTCTTTGAGGGAGGTCTTGTTCGATAAACCTCCCTTTCAATGACGCCGACTCGGTTCTGCCATGAACAGAATATCGCCGAACAACAAGGGCAGTGTCTTTGTCGTCAACCTCGATAGCGGCAACCAAGCCCTTACTTATATCCCAGCGAGGGAACCTCCTTGGACTCGATATATCGACACGTCTATTTTTAACCCCCGATTTTGTCTCAACACCAAATGTCTTACACGTTTTTACCCACACATTTCCAAAAAGAATCACCATTCCGCCTTCGCTACCAGCTAGCCTCATCGCATTCATCCAAGACACGGGAACAGCTATTGCCAAGCGGCATTGGTCTGACGTTTACTGAACCGAAAACAGCCACACCTAAAATCTTGCAGCCGTATATAACTAACTCTATCTCCAGTTCACCAAATTTCCACTCGTGCCTCTTCACCGATCATCATGAAGACATCTTTGTTTATGGTCGGCGCTAGCGCCATTCTGGCTTCGGCCAGTCCCATTGGAAACGCTTTTCAGGAGCGTGCCATGGAGACCAAATGGGTCTACGAGGTTGTCACTGTTGTTGTCACTGAAGGTGCTGAGCCCAAGAAGGCTGCTCACACCGCCACTGTCTACGAGGCCCCCCAGGCTCCCAAGGTCACCCAGGAAGCTGTCAAGGTCGTCAAGGAGCAGCCCGCTCCTGCTCCTGTCGTTGTCAAGGAGGAGGCTCCTGCTCCTGTCGTCAAGGAGGAACCTGCTAAGCCTAAAGTCGTCACTGTCTGGGTCGACCCTAAGCCTACCTCCAAGGTTGTCAAGGAGTACAGCGAGGAGAAGGTCGTTGTGAAGCCTGCCGCTCCCTCCCCTGTTTACGAGGCCCCTGCGCCAGTCGTCGAGAAGGCCCAGACTACCATCAAGAAGGTCGTCAAGCCTACCCCCACCCGTGCCGAGCCCAAGGTCACCGTTGAAGCTAGCATCGACACCTCTGATCTTTCTCTCGAGGGTGCCTACGACACCGTCATGCTTGCCTACCACAACATCCACCGCGCGAACCACTCTGCCCCCGCTCTTGAGTGGGACGATGAGCTCGCCGGCTACGCCGAGAACACTGCCAACGGCTGTGTCTTCGAGCACGACATGTAAGTTGATACTTGTACACCTAGCGACATTTTCACTAACAAATTCGATAGGGACCAAGGGAATGGCGGTTACGGCCAGAACCTCGCATCCTGGGGTGCTACCAGCGACATTGATGGACTCAAGAACAAGGCTGCTGCTGGTGGTATTACCAACCAGTGGTACGACAGTGAGATGTCCAACTGGGCTTTCTATGGCCAGGAGAACCCCCCCTCCGACATGAACATTGACCTCTACGGTCACTTCACCCAGGTTGTCTGGAAGGACTCCACCAAGGTCGGCTGTGCCACTGTCAAGTGCGCTGCGGGGACTGTCCTCAGCTTCCCCTCATGGTACACAGTTTGCAACTACAACCCTCAGGGTATGCATCACTTCAACCCTTTTGTTTTGGAGCCAGACTAACTTTGAATGTCCAGGTAACTTTGGTGGCCGCTACGGCGACAACGTCCTCAAGCCCGAGGGAGCCAAACGTGTTACTGTTTAGGAGCACAGACACAGTCCTCACTGATCGGAAAAGGCGCACTTCTACATCCATCTTACAGAACAGCCCTGTCAATCTTTCTTAGGCAAGAACTTGTATCTAGTGAGGTGGAAGAAGGCGTAGCCTCCCAACCACGTCTACAGCAACTGTTTCCTTTTTCTCTTCATTTCGATTCTTCAATGTACGTTATGCATCATCGTACTTAACGATCTTCTTCGTTCAACATTGGGCCACACGGCCAACTTTCTCATCATGGTCTTAACTTTACATGCCTGGCGTCTATGAAACAAAATGATATTAAACAGGGATGGCGCGTAAGGAGCGAGGGTGAACGATGAGTGTCTGTGCTGGCTTTTTTTACAAGGTCGCGTCTTCTCTTCATTGCCTGACTCTAGGTTACATATGGGTTGACTGAGTCTTGGCTGCCTTGGGGTTTACCAAAGCATATTTGATTACTTGTTCAATGCTCATAGAAGCACGTCGATAGACACGAATATCACAATGATTTCGCTGACAGTTGTTCCCGTTGATTTGATTATGTGATGACATTTGTGATGTGCTGCATGGTCTAAGATGTCTATCTACTTCAGCACCAAAGAATCTACCAGCCTAAATTCTTATTGACCATTGTGAAGTATGATGTCTCGCTAGGTATTGAGTAACAGAAAAGTCATCCTTAATGTTTTAGGATATGAAATGAGTAACCTGACGACGGAGTCATTACCGGTTGTTGGCATCTTAGAATATGATATGGTAGTTCTGTAATGGCTGAGATCGCTCACACCTCAATTTGACGGCCAATCGACCTGCACGTTTCCGCCTAACTGATGCATCCTAAACTATTGATGCAGTGCAAGCATTCTCGCATGATACCACTTCCCTCCTTCTCCCTCAAAAGGAACAGGGGCAAAGGCACAACTTGGCGAGGCGAGGGACATTGATCAACCGGAAGTTACCATTTACGTACCACAATAGGATGACTACCGACAACGAACCTCGACGACCTTCCTCCTATGGGCCCAATCATCGGCTATTGGCTATCCGATATGATGTTGGCTTGTGGCTTTCTACAGAACATGACGCCTGTTTTAAGCAGCCTGGTGGAGGATCATGTCTGATGCTTCTTCATGGTTGGGCCAAGCTGACGGCAACAGGCATGCCAAGAGAGAAATATATAGCATGGATTCGCATGTTTCTAGTCAGCTCGGTGAATGAGACGTTGTATTTCATATGCCTTTCAAGTAGGTGTGCTTGGATATAAAGCCTTTCTAAACCGTTTTTTACATCTGTCGCTCGACTCTTCTCTCTACACCTTCTTTCGTCTCCGTGTCTGCATAAGCGATGACGAAATCGAAGCCTCACCCTCTGGCCCAACTTTCTCGGGACGAGTTTGTTATGGCTCGCAACTGTGTATTGAAACACCATGGCCCCGAAACCTCCCTCTTCTTTCGTTCGATCCAGCTCCAGGAGCCCAAGAAGGATGATCTCGTACCCTTCTTGATCGCTGAGCACAATGGCAGTCTTGATGAGATGACTCCTCGGCCTGTACGTTGTGCTGAGGTCGAATACGACATCATTACTGGCACGAGAGAATACACTCGCACAATTGTTGATGTGGACAAAGGCGAGGTTGTCTCCAAAGCCGTCCTCGAGCAATATGCGCATCCCAATATTGCAATGTGTGTTCACAACTTGTCCATGAACTAAACTATTTGCTAATTATGCCTAAGAGTTGAGGTCGAAACATTTCAAGATGCCTGTGTTGAATCGCAGCTCTTTAAAGACGCCATGTCGGAGTTCACACTGCCAGAAGGCTTCGCTGTATGCATAGATCCTTGGCCATACGGCGGAACCTTTGAAGATGGCTATCCATCTCGTTACATGCAAGGCCTCGTTTTTGGAAAGAATGTATCTCACAACAATCCTGACTCAAACCACTATGCCTATCCTATACCTATCATTCCAGTTATGGATCTGGAGACGAGAACCATCATTCGTGTTGATCGACTTGCTACAGGCAGCTCGGACGATGACTTCAAGGCCAAAGAAAGGGGTGCATCGCCAAAGGATCTGTTCCAAAACAGTCACGCAGCAGAGCATGTCCCAGAACTACTGGACAGACCCCTTCGTGAAGACCTGAAGCCTCTCAATGTGACACAGCCTGAGGGTGCCTCGTTCACGGTCTCGTCTGATGGTTTGATCGAATGGCAGAAATGGCGGTTCCGTCTCGGATTTACTCCGCGCGAGGGTGCTGTTCTTCACGACGTCTGCTACGAGAATCGAAGTATCTTGTATCGTCTCAGCTACAGCGAACTGACCGTTCCATACGGCGATCCTCGCCCGCCTTTTCACCGCAAGCATGCTTTTGATCTTGGAGATGGAGGTGTCGGAAGAGCTGCCAACAATCTTCAGCTAGGATGCGACTGCCTCGGGGCAATTCATTATGTCGACTCCTATCTTGCTGGTCCAGATGGTCTACCAACCCCTGCAAAATCCGTTATATGCTTGCACGAGCAAGACAACGGTATCTTGTGGAAACACACAAACTTCCGTACCAACAGAGCTGTCGTCACGCGCATGAGAGAGCTCGTCGTGCAATTCATAGTCACAGTTGCGAATTATGAATATATATTTGCATACAAGCTTGGTCTCGCTGGAAATATCACTATTGAGACTCGAGCAACTGGCGTTGTCAGCGTCGTTGGGATAGACGAGGACAAGACAAGTCGGTATGGCAATGTGGTTGCGCCTGGTGTTCTCGCACAGAATCATCAGCATATTTTCTCAGTACGGATTGACCCAGCCGTTGATTCGTATAACGCCCAGGATACGCAAATCGTTGTGGAAGAGAGCATCGGAAAACCTGTTGATCCAAAGACCAACCCAAGAGGAAACTTGTACGAAGTCGAGCGCAACAAAGTGTCAAAGGCTTCATGGACAGATGCTGAGCCACGTTTGAACCGTCTCATCAAACTGGAGAATGCTACAAAGCACAACGCTATGTCAGGTCGACCAGTGGGATACAAGCTCATACCACCAGCGACTCAGATGATGTTAGCAGATGCGACGAGCGTGGCTGCCGCTAGAGCCCCTTTCGCTCAGCATAACGTCTGGTTCACTGGCTATCGTGATGGTGAGCTATGGGCGGCGGGTGAGTTCACAAACCAGAGTAATGGCGAGGCTGGGGGAGTGTCTGATATGGTCAAAAGAGGAGACTGGTTCACAGACGAGGGTGATGGAGAGGCGACGAATGGTGATCGTGGGGATTGTAAGAAAGGCCGACGAAGTAGCCCCGTCGTGTGGGTATCCTTCGGTCTCACTCACAACCCGAGAGTTGAGGATTGGCCTGTCATGTTTGTGTTTGGTCACCCTGATTTTCAGTGCAGAATTGCTAACGAGAAGATAGGTCGGTTGAAATCCAACAGGTCCATCTTCGTCCTGCCGACTTCTTCACATCTAACCCTGCCTTGGACGTCCCATCGACAAGGAATGAGAGCAGCATGCTCGTGTCTTGCTGTGACAATACGAAAGTTGTTGGAAGAGAGAAGGAACCCTTGGTGAAGAATAGTCCCACAAGCCATCTTCAAGGCGGAGAAAACGGTATTGAGGCTAGAATGGCGGGTGCCCATGTCGCCGATGGAACTGAGGTATGAGGTATAAGGCACGACAGTTCAACTGACCTAATGTCAGTACGGCCCGGAGACGAAATCGACTTCATAGTAAATTAACAGATATTACATGAACAATGTTGCTGTTGAATGGGTAGTATGGTATTCATTATTTTGTTATTATGACTTAGTGCTCGATCTTGAGTGAAAAGTCTATGTGCGGCACACCCTGGTGAATCGAACTTGTTGACAGAATATCGACATCTGGAGCACAGCAGTTAGTAAATACATCATAAGGAATAGAGCGACACTTACCATTGCACAAATATGCTTCAAAGTTATCCTCCTGAAGACCGCCAGAAACCTCCAACAGGAAGTGCCTCTTCCCTTGCCAGCGCTCCTTAAGACTACGAGAAGCAACCTTGACGCCATCGCCAGTGAAGTTATCCAGCATGACAACGTCAGCACCGGCTTCAATCGCCTCGTCTGCCTCCGCCTCGCTCTGCACTTCAACCTCGACCTTCATGCTGAATCCTCCGACTGACTTGGCAGCCTTGACAGCATCAGTGATACTGCCCCGGCTCCAGACATGGTTGTCCTTCAGCATAATCATGGCGCTAAGATCCATTCTGTGAGCGTCGGCACCACCAACCAACATGCCGTACTTTTCAACAAGGCGGAAACCCGGCGTCGTCTTTCGTGTTCCTGCAATCACGCCCGTGTATCCAGCCTTGCGCGCAATAGATACAAGCCTTGAACTCTTGGTCGCAACACCGGAGCATCGCGCAAGGGTGTTCAACGCAACTCTCTCCCCAAGGAGAATGCCGCGTACAGGACCCTTGACAGTTGCGACTCGGTGCTTGCCACTGCTCAAATCAACATCATTCCCCTCCTCAGCGTGCCATTCGACCGTGCAGCCGCATTGCGCAAAGACCTCGTCGAAGAAGGGGCGGCCAGCAATGACACCACTCGATTTGCCCCAGAGGGTAGCGACGCGAGGACCGTCACCAACGACGAAGCCGGCGTAATCGAAGGAGGGTGTGTCTTCAGCGAGCCATGCAGTCACCGAAGTTTTCCACGATGGTGGGAGGAGGTTTGCGAGGTTTCCTTTGGGTTGAGCCATTGTTAAGAAATGTGCGACAGCAATGGAGAGTTTCGAGTCGAAGAAGACTGAAGAATTGGTGGTTAAAGAGAGAAGAATAAATCTGCGACAAAATAAGTATCTGACGACAGGCTTCTAGGACGAGCGGATAGCGGCCGGAGTCGGATGTCCCCCGCATTAAACTCCCGCCAGATGCCGGAACAAGTGGGGGTGGGGGATCGGATGGGGCCGGCTTAGCTTCTGTTCGTTATCGGTCATAACGAGTTCCTGTCTACAACGACCCTTGTAAGCCCAGTTATCAATCATCTTTCAAGTTTCAACAAGCAAACTCGACCGTGGGCAATAATATATGCTATATTCTAAAACAAAAGAAATATATCTACTTCATCGCGCTCCTATGACCCTTATCCTCCAACTCCAAACATGGATAAAAACACAATAAAAACAAAAGAGGACCTGCCTGGAGTCATGAGTCGAATGAGATGAGAAAAAGGGAAGACCATGCATGCATTGGAAAAGACCTGATAACACCCCAACTATGTAAGTAACCAAACCGCAAAATACGGCATACAAAAAAAGACCAATGTGAAAAAGGGAAAAGGCAGAGACCGGGTATCAAACAAATGCGCTGAGTCGTCGAAGAAACTCCTAAAGCTCATCTCCTATCGTCGCCGTGGAGATTCGTTGTTACTGGTGTTGTTGCTGGCATGACTTCTTATGTCCATACAACGTCTACATCGTTTCGCTTCGTTTCGCTTCGCCCGTGTCTTCTTCGTCTAATTCCCAACCGGGTCGTTCCAAAACGTCAACAACATCCCTTTGTCTCCTTGCGAGTTTCTGGATTTGTTTGCTCTTGAGTTCCCGCCTGCTCGACTGTTATGGCAGGGGAGAAAGCAGGTGAGAATAGCCAGCTGCGACGGTCACGGCCTACACGGAAACTGCCCCGAGCATCAGCACCCGCAAAGTAGCCACCGTCCATACCGGCTTCGTAGCCTGGTGTACCGGGAATAGCGGTAGCCATCAGAAGAGCTTGCTGAATCTTGCGGTTCTGCTCGACAAGTTTACGTGTGACGACCCGGAATACTTCTTCGACACCCTCACCCGTCTCGGCGCTGATTTCATGGCAGGCGTCCCACCCCACTTCTTGTGCCCAGAAGCCCGAGCTCCTCTTCGAACTGGGACTGTGAAGTTCCATGGATGGCGGTGACATGGCCTGGCCTCCCGACATGGGCGTAGGAATGTGGTAGGGAGTCGCTGTCGGGGGAGGTGTGCTACCCACGCCTGGAGCGAGGTTCTCAGCGACGTAGGCGATACATCGTTCAAATGGGACCTGGCGGGCTGAGGGTTCGCGGGCGACAATGTCGGCTTTTGTACCAACTACATGAAGGACAACATCGTGGGGAAGGTTTCGCCGTAGTTCCATGAGCCACACACCCATGTCCGCAAAGGATTGCGCGTCGGTGATGCTGTAGCAGAGAATACAGGCATTTGCGCCACGATAGTAGAGTCGAGAGATGGATCGAAAGCGCTCTTGTCCGGCTGCGAGGTTGCGTTAGTATTATGGTAACTGACTTCTTGGACTCCTTATCAAGACCAACCTGTATCCCATATCTGGAGGCGCACCACGGTATCTGAGTCGGAGTCGACGACGCGCTTTGTGAGGAAGCTGGCGCCGACGGTGGAAGTGATCTGAGCAGGGTTGAAAGCGCCTTTACAGTATCTCATAACCAGGGATGTCTTCCCAACGCCTTGAGCGCCGAGGACGACGATCTTGGCTTCGAGCGACGACATGATTGTGGGTGTTGGCCGCGACGTTTTGCCAAGGGGGGGGGGGGGGATGGAGTTGAATCCTCCCGTTGAAAAAGGACGAAGAGAGCGAAAAGGGGGGCAAGGAAACCCGAGTCGCACGAAAAAGGAGGAAAGAAGCAAAAAAAGGAAAGAGAAAAGAAGGGGAAAGGGAAAATAGGTGAAGCAAGATGAGTATATTTAAAGAAGTGGAAAAAAAGACGGGCGTAAAAGAAAAAAGAGAGTAGGTAGGCTAGCGGGTTCGACCTTGTCTTGTGGTGGTGGTGTGTAGGTAGCGGGTGCTTAAATTTCGTGGGTGTGTGTATGAACAAAGGTAGCGAAGGCCAAGGCCAAGACTATTGCTAGGTATAGGTATTTGTTGTTTTTTATTTCAACGAGAAATATTTCGGGAGGCAGCGTTGATATAGAAATGGAATCAGTCTATGTAGGTCTAGTGTTTGAGAGTCAAGAGACACAGCGTGGCTGGTAGACCCGAGGTTTAGCGGCTGAATGCGGTGATGAGAAGGGGGACAGACAATAGCAATGTTTACAAACCACCAACAATGGCAATTACAGAGAATGAGTCAAGCCCAGGCAGCAAATAATCTCTGTAAACCGTCCTTTTCTTGGCAAGAATTGTACAGTAAATAAGCAGTGACTCGGCTCTAAAATTTAATAATAAACAAAAAAGCCTCTTTCAACGGCCCGTTAAATGCAATGCTTTTCACATCGTATTGTTTGATCCAATGCGACGGAACCTAATGATATCAACATACCCCAGAACAACTCAACCTAGGGCCCTTGTCGCTTCAGGCGCCTCTACAGGCCCAACACACTGGAACCGCTGGGCAACTCCACTGAAACAAATGCCCCCGATGGCGGGGCCGCCAGGAGCCTCAGGTCCGCTGACGACATACGCTAGCGGCCATTATCCTTCACGTGTCACAAACATCCTACGTCATTCCAGCCAACGGCCTTTCTTTTTTTGTTCCTGTCAGTTGAGTACCTGTTACAGAGCAAAGAATCAACATTCCAGCACAACCACGATAAGAACAACGGAATTTGGCCAAGAAACGCTATAAAAGACTCTTATCATTTGCACGACTTAACCACGAACAATGGCCACGTAGTCAGTGACTCGAGTGTCTCTCATCACCAGACCTTCAGGTACCACCAACAAGGCCAAACCGACATTCTCTGCAAAAGTTCCCAACCCGTTTGATATGCGCATTCCTCGGCTCAATCGCCTACACCGCTCTGATCTTCTAGTTTCATCTTTTCTCTTGCGTGCAGCACAGCACAGCCTATGTCTGCAATTATCCTATCCCATCTTTATGCAACTGTGCGAGAGCGGTTCACTCAACAGACCAACCAACCAACCAGCGGCTTGACTAACACTTATTAGCACGCGGGGGACTGATTGCATACATACACTGGCTAGCTATAATTCGCTCAGATTGGGTGACATGGAATATCATTATCATTATCCATGCGGCTGGCGCGAGCAGATCGGCCTTGCAGTAGATGCACACCATACCCAATGTCACATCCAGAACCAGTCTGTTATTCCGGTCTTCTTTTGAAGGTCGTGTATGATGTTTGCTAATTGACCTATATTAGACTGATAACTGACCTCTTTTTCTCACTGACATAGCAATTCACCGCCATCACGTGTCGCTGGTTTATTCTCACCAGATACATATCTCTCCTCCGCAAGCTCACAGACATCGACCCCTGTCCATCTCCTATAAAGGATGCGCACATCGCAACACAGACAATGACACGGGCTTGATCTTTGGAAAATCTAGAGCGTCAGCTAAAAGCAGAAACCCCATCTATCCCGGTCAATCTTCATCGTAGCTCTGAACGGTCTCAAAATCTGAATCATCAGACGAGAAACATGTCTCAAGACATGGTCACGTCGGGTCCAGAATGACGTACAACAAGACACAGTCAGAAACACAACGAATATGAAGAGCTCAGCTGTCCACAGATCGCGATCTTATTTGAAAAAGAAGAAATCCCCTCGGATGAAGCGAGTGATTTTTATCAGAAACAAGCAGCCAATCTAAAATGGCCAAAGGCATTACTCGGAAATGACGCCAATGCGTTAAATATATAAGAACGGAAGGAGAAGAAGGTCCTTCCCTGTTGGCCATTTAAGATCCTCATTCACCCCGCATCTGCATCCCACTCAGCCCTGTTTACATAAGGCACCGTGCTTTTCTAGACTTCATCCAACAATGCTCGACCGTGCCATCCCAGCAGGAGATAGAGAGACAGAAGGACTGAAGTAAAAATAGATGTACAGAATTTCAAAAATAACAATCGGAAGGCGTTGGGATTGCTCCCGCCAGGGCTTGAACCTGAGACCTTCGCATTACTGAATATTCAGATTGAAGTATTAGTACGACGCTCTAACCAACTGAGCTACGGAAGCCGTCCAATTGTTGTAAACGACACGCAGTCTACTGCTTATGAGCCTGAGTAGAATCAGCTCTGTCGTTCACTCACTTGCGAAACCACATATTATCTCTGGTATCTATGTTAAAGGAAAGCAAAAGGCATCGAGCCTCGGGGATTTATCAAAATCAAATGCGCCCTATCCAAGCGGGTCCTAGCCTATCCGTTGCCGCTCCTAGTTGCTAACTATATCATGCCTCATCATTCATACATAAACCCTCGAATCCCCCTCAACGCAGACGGTTTCTTATCCTTCTTGCCATTTGATTCGTCCTTTCCCTTGTCTTTCGAGTCCTTCCGGAGCCGATTTTGTGTTGCAGTAGCAAACAGGTCGGAGTGGCTTCTCGCAAGTAACCGACCTGCTTCTCCACGCCCAAATCGGAGATGGTCAGGACTCATTGAAAGAGACGACGTATCCGGTGATCCTGGAGGATGTGTCCAACCCGCTGATTTAGGCGATATCGCAGCTTCGAGCCTTTGATCAAGAGGCGGCGTAACATTGAATGCAGTGCCTTCTGCAACATCGGGACTCGACAGCACACGGGGCGGTCTAGTCTTCATCATGACCGGGCTTGTTGATACAGAAAAAGAACCCTGCTCAGCTTCTGATGAATTTGATGTCTCGATCCTGAGCTGGCCGGGCTTTGTTTCTGTCTTCATATCCAGAAGAGATGACTGTAGGGCTGTATACTTGCGCATAAGAAGATCGCACTGCCTTTGTAACTCAGCTTGCTTTTCTCGACTTGCCGCGAGCGTCGACTCGATGGCCTCTTTCTTGT